TAAGATGGAGAAATATATCATTGATAAACAAGCAGCAGCAGCAGCAGCAGTAACGCTCTCATTTTACCTCTTTGTCTCTGTCATAGTGGCTCTCTGCCATTATTTTAACATTTCTCGTTCTCCTTACTCTCCTGCCAATGGGTTTGCGTATTGTGTTGCCGTAATTACATGGCAGTAAACAGAGATCAAATGTCATATGACTGGGGAACAGGGAGACACAGATATTTCTTTCGTGTCCCTCTCGCTCTCTCTCCCCGTCTCCGTTATGCACCTTGTTGTTTAATATCGAAATTCCTTTGCTAGAAAACGTAAATGTGTTTTGATTTTACAGAATGTCCCATAAAACAAAAATAATAAAAACTCATTTGCATTACACACACACACACACACACACACACACCGCTATCAAAGTATTTTTTACTCACACACAAACACACACACTCTCACAGGCATATATTAACTTTGAAAAAGTCTAAATTTACAATCGGCTATCAAATATCATTCATTTGAGTAATTGTAGTACATTGTAATATGGCACGATGAGTAGTAGGCAGACCCAACGACCAAACGACCGACAGGCAGGCAGACGATAAAGCAGAAGGAGGATTATCAGCCAGCCAAACGTATCACTGGCTGGTTCTGCTGGTGTTATTTGGTTATTTGCTGCTTGCTTTCTGGAAGAGAGGCGGACAGGCGGACGTAAAGCTTTTGTTGCACGTTTCAATTGCCAAAGGCGTCATTAGATTGCGAAATACCCAAGAAGACATCAAGTACTCATTTATTCAACTAACACACACACAGAGATACACATACAGCCATAGTTGTTACTATGACTCTTTGTCATAGTTAATAGTTTGAAATTACAGAAATTAGATATTTTAGTAAATATCAATCAAATGTGCAATATTATACTCAAGACAATGTTATAAATTTATATAATAATAATAACAAGTAAAAAAACATTAAGTTCGGCCGGGCCAAACTTTTAATACCCTCCACCCTAGGGTAAAAGAACATTAGAAAAAATGTGGCAAAAAACATTAAAATGCGAATATCGGGAGGTACCGTTAAAAAGGGGGCTACACCAACACGTGCACCTATAATTACAATGTTTCGCCACACGACCTAGGACCCATTATGACCCACAAATACCAACTTTTACACAAATCAGTGAAAAAATATGGCATAAATCATCAAAATACCGAATATCGGGAGGTACCGTTATATGGGGACTATACCAGAACGTGGACCTATACATGCAATGTTTTGCTACACGCTCAGGGACCCGTTGTGACCTACAAATACCAATTTTCAGACAAATCCGTGAAAAAATGTGGCATAAATCATCAAAATACCGAATATCGGTAGGTACCATTATATGGGGGCTATACCAAAACGTGGACCTATACATGCAATGTTTTGCCACACACTCAGGGACCCGTCGTGACCTACAAATACCAATTTTCAGACAAATCCGTGAAAAAATGTGGCATAAATCATCAAAATACCGAATATCGGTAGGTACCGTTACATGGGGGCTATACCAAAACGTGGACCTATACATGCAATGTTTTGCCACACGCTCAGAGACCCGTCATGACCAACAAATACCAATTTTCAGATAAATCCGTGAAAAAATGTGGCATAAATCATCAAAATACCGAATATCGGGAGGTACCGTTATATGGGGACTATACCAGAACGTGGACCGATATATCTCATTTTCAATACCAACCATCCTAGGGACAATACACACACTTGTGCCAAATTTCAAAGGTCTACGTCAAATAATGTGTGCTCTATCGTGATTTCAACAGACAGACAGACAGACAGACGGACAGACAGACAGACGGACAGACAGACAGACAGACGGACATCGCTAAATCGTCTTAGAATTTTATGCTGATTATGAATATATATACTTTATGGGGTCTACGACGAATATTTAGAGGTGTTACAAACGGAATGACAAAGTTAATATACCCTCCTACCCATGGTGGAGGGTATAAAAATGAGAGCAAACTTAAAACCCATAGTACAATAACAAAGGTAACCTCATGTAATCATACAATTAAATTGTTTTTTATTTAATGTCCTTTTATTGTCAAATAGTTGTTTGGTAGCTCCTTCCACCTTTTATGTGGACGTAAAAATGACAAGAAATTTACAATGAATTTACCTCTATCATGATTAAGGTCTGAACCAGAAAACTAATATGTTAGACCCATAGGTAATGTGAGACTTGAGCAAATTTGAAACCCAAGGTACAATTATAAAGGTAATCTCATGTAATAATGCAATTAAAATGTTTTTTATTTAATGTCCTTTTATTGTCAAATAGTTGTTTGGTAGCCCCTTCCACCTTAGATGTGGACGTAAAAATGGCAAGAAATTTAAAATAAATTTACCAATATCAAGATTAAAGGTGCAAATACATAAAAAGCTTGAAGTCATGGCTAGGCATATTAATGTCAAATTATAATGGAAAACGACGGCAGGATTTTAGTGCCGCTCTGTAATCCCTTTATAGAATGTCACTAAATATGCCTAGCCATGACTTCAAGCTTCTTATGTGCTTACACCTTAAGGTCTGAACCAGAAAACTGATCATGTTAGACCCATAGGTAATGTGAGACTTGAGCAAACTGAAAACCCACGGTACAATTACAAAGGTAATCTCATGTAATCATACAATTAAATAGTTTTTATTTAATGTCCTTTTATTGTCAAATATATATTGGCAGCTCCTCCCTCCTTAGATGTGGACCTAAAAATGGCAGGAGATTTACAATAAATTTTCCTTTATCAAGATTAAGATCTGAATCAGAAAACGTATATGTTAAACCCATAGGCATGCTGCAATGAAATAAAGATAACTTAATTTCAAATAAGCATTCCCAGCTCTGTATTTTCTATAATTTAACGTGTCAAATTTCACTGAAACAGAAAACAGTTCCCACCTCCGATTTTGTGTATATACAGGGTGAGATAAAAAACTGCAACAAAGTCAAACGCCATCATTTTTTCCATTTTTTTTTTTTAATTTTATTGATTGAAAGCAAAAAATGACAGAAATAGCATCAAATTTTAGATCCGAAGATTTTGGTGACCATTATGCGCTGGAAATGAAGCGAGGAATTTTGTAACCATTCTTGGGTGGCGTGTGCTAAGTCGTGTTGGAATGTCCAAGGTCTGCGGCCGAAATTTTTGCGTGCCCAAGGCTTTAATATACCCTCCAGAATATTTTCGCGATAATATTCGCCATTTATTTTGATGCCACGGTCGATTAATACGAGCGGAGAGCGACCATCGGCTGTTATGGCGGGCCACAACACCATCACCATGGCCGGCGCTTGAGTTCTGGTGGCCAACCGAAGGTGCACATTTTCAGCTGACATGACTTCTTTGGCAAGTAAACGAACGACGATCATTTCGTTTGTTTACAAACTGCTGGACAATAAATGTTTTCTCATCGGAGAAACGCAAATTCGGCAGTTCACCACTTTCGGCCGAAGCGAAGCAACCCTTTAGCTCTTTTGAGTCTATTTTCTTCCTGTTGCTGTGTAAGTTCTTGCACTTTTTGGAATTTCAATGGCTTTACCCCGAGCTCATTTTTTCAATATTTGCCGAATGGAATATTGCGATATGCTCAGCTCACGAGCCATTTTTCGGCCACTGCTACGCGGCTTTCGAACAAGGCGCTTCTTTTCTATTCGATCCATAACTGCTTATGGTGCTGTTTTCTTCCGTCCACTTCCTTGACATATGTCGGGCTACGCTACCAGTATCACGGCAACGAGCGATGGTACAAGACACAAAAGATTTATTCACATTTAAATGCTGGAGTCCTCTAACGATAGCCACTTGTCGATTTCCAGCCAAATATAAAGAAATCACACCATCGCGCTTGAATTCTATCACGAATAACTTTTTTTCTGGAAAATTCTCACCAAAATGCTTTGGTACGTTTGTAAAGAATATAATGAGCTGTCACTGGAATAATGTTAACAGGTATCGGACGAGTGGCTTAGAAATGACAGCAGTCTGATGTTGTTTGCAGTTTTTCATATCTCCCTGCATTACCCCATAGGTAATGTGAGACTTGAGTGTGGGATGGTTGAATTTCAAAATATAATTTTGCCGCAGATAAGAGAAGTATGAAAATCGACAAAATCGATAACTTGTTATATTCACCATAGATAGTATGGAAGATATATTAAGTCTGAAAATCCACAAAAGGAGTTCCTTTTGAGTATTTTACCTCCTAAAGAGTATAGCCTATATAGGTCCACGATATCTAATATCACCCATATAACGATACCTCCCTATGTTCGGTATTTTGATGATTTTTGCTACAGCACCCGTTTTTTCCAAAAAAAAAAAAAAAAAGATTAATAAAATTCATTTTCCTTAGATGCGGAACATATAACTGTTTCTAACAGCCAAGGAACGCCAAAAATAATAAAATTCATTATTTTTTGTAAAATATGCCACTCGTCATACGTAAATATTTCAGATAGTGCGAGTTCCTTGGCAAAGGGTTGCCATACTTGATTTGGCAAATGAGACTTACTCTATTGTTTTGCCTTGGCTGGAAATGTTTAAATGCAATGAATTGAATTAACTTTTTTTAATTGAAGTGGGGTTTCAATTAAAAATGGAGAGATTTTTGAAACCTGAATAAATAGGCAATTCAGCCAGTATAAATTGATTTCCTATGAAAACCATTATTCAGGCCGGTTGATTTGAGGATTTCTCATCGCAACTGTAAAGGTGGAAATACATGAAGCGCTTATTTGGCTGGCTTCTTCTGAAATTTACAAAAGAGACTAGGCTAAAATCGAACCAAGCCAACCTAAAACTCCTTTGTTCCTCTACGAAGAAGTCAGCCGATGACTTAAGCCAGCTAAATAAGCGCTTTATGTAATCCCACCTTAACTCTTTATGGAAATTTAATGGCATTTCATTTGTTTGTTGTCATATATTATGCTAAGACCTACCTTAATTTCATCACTGGGTAATTCCTTTTTAATTTTTACTACGGTTGGTGTGGTAGTCCCTTGGCTCCCCGAATTACTCATTGGACTGTTGGGCGAACTATTAGCACTCGCGTTAAGGGAAGATGTCTTGGTAGACATTTTTTTGTTTTATTTTCTAAACACTGTTCTCCGTGCGTTTTTCTTTTTTGTTTTTATCTGGACGCTGTTGACTTTCCGCGAATTGCCGCACCAAATAAAAAGAAATTTAATTTCACTTTTATTCAAAAATCTGTGGCCCACCAAACTGAAATAGAACAAACATTACTAACACACACACACAGAGAAAGATACAAAAATGCTCAGAGGAGGAACAGCCGAAGAATTTTGTTAAATGTTTTTTTTTTTGTGATTTTCTTTTTTTCTAATTCATTTTGTTTGGTTGTTTGTTACACGATGTCATACAAATATCTATGTAATGTGATTTTATTTTTATAAACAAAGCCAAGTAGAGGAGGAGATCAATCACAAGAGTCACAAGTTCTCAAACAGATTCACGAGTATCATCCACACACACACACACACACAAACACACCTACATAGATTGCAACACAGGGACACCATCAATTGGATGTTCTTCTTCTCCACTGGGATGATGGCTGTTGCTGTGTTTATTTTTTACATTTCGTCATTTCCCCCTCCAACCAACAACAGCATCTTTGTGATATGAGGGGGTGTTGAGTAGGAGGTATGGACATGAAGAACTGCATTACAAATGCCAACAAATTTGAATTTTACAAAGTAGGGGGTGTTTCTGCTTAAGTAACGGTGCATGCATAAAATTATGCATGTGACGTTTCTCACACCCAACATCTCTCTCCATCTCTCCCTCTCTCTTCTCCTTCTTTCATTCCATAACATTGGGGAATGGACATCAAATAGATAGATCTCATGTTGACAGTGCTCTGTTTATTTATAAAGAAGGGGAGACTTGATGAGATAATATCAAATAGAGAATGAAAGGGAGAGAGAAAGAGCGCGCGAATTTCTAATGGCTATTCACAGAGAATGCCACATTAATTTCACTTTTCATTGTTTTGATATTTTGTTGCATTCATTACTTAATCAATGGGGTTTTTTTTTTAAATGCAATAAAAAGAATTTGGTTAAAAAACACATGTTCATTGATCACGAGCAGAATTACTCAAATACATACATACATACACACATATGTAGATATCTATGCACATGTCTATACATGAATATTTTATACAGTAGTGAAAATTGGGAAAATGTATATATAGGGTGAGATGAAAAAAAACTGCAACCAACTTCAGATTGCTGTCATCTCAAAGTCAGTCATTTGACAGCTGTTAAAATTATTCCAGTGATGGATTATTGTTTACAGGCGTACACAAGCATTTTGGTGAGAAAATTTCCAGAAAAAGAAATTTATTCGTGATGGAATTCAAGCGTGATAGTGTGATTTCTTTATATTTGGCTGGAAAAACACAAGTGGCTATCGTTGGAGCACTCCGGCATTTAAATGTGAATAAATCTTTTGTGTCTCGTACCATCGCCCGTTACTGGTAGCCTAGCCCGACGTCAAGGAAGTGGACGGAAGAAAACATCAGCAGAAATGGTTCGAAAAGTAAAGAAGTGACTTGATCGAAACCCGCACCGCAGTGGCCGAAAAATGGCTCACGAGCTGAACATATCGCAATATTCCATTCGGCAAATATTGAAAAATGAGTTCGGGGTAAAGAAAAAAATTGCAAGAACTTACACCGCAACAGAAAGAAAATAGACTCAAAAGAGCTAAAGAGTTGCTTCGCTTAGCCGAAAGTGGTGAACTGCCGAATTTGGTTTTCTCCGACGATGAGAAAACATTCGTTGTCCAGCAGTTTGTAAGCAAACAAAATTATCGTGTTTACTTGCCAAAGAGGTCAGCTGAAAATGTGCACCTTCGGTTGGCCACCAGAACTCAAGCGCCGGCCATGGTGATGATGTGGGCCGCCATAACAGCCAATGGTCACTCTCCTCTCGTATTAATCGATTGTGGCATCAGAATAAATGCCGAATATTATGGCGAAGATATTCTGGAGGGTATATTAAAGCCTTGGCCACGCAAACATTTTGACCGCAGACCTTGGACATTTCAACAGGACTCAGCACCATCGCACGCAGCATGCGCCACCCAAGAATGGTTACAAAATGAGGTTCCTCGCTTCATTTCCAGCGCCAATGGCCACCAAAAATCTCCGGATACCAATCCGTTGGTCTGGAGTATTTTGGAAAGCAAGGTTGGCACTAAAAAATACCAAAGTGTCGATCACATCAAGCAAGCGCTTCGCCCGGAATGGTCCAAAATACCGCAGAGCAACATTCGGGCAGCGTGTGAGCGTGTTGCATTGGCCGTTTGAAGGCCCTAATTCGTGCCAAAGGTGACCAATTCGAAAAAATCTTAACTTATTCTACAATTTGATGCTTTTTCCGTTTTTTTTTTTTTTGCTTTAATTCAATATTTTTTTTTAAATGTAAAAATTGTGGCGTTTGACTTTGTTGCAGTTTTTTTATCTCACCCTGTACATACCTACACACGTATGTAGATATCTATGCACATGTCTATACATGAATATTTTCTACAGTAGTGAAAATTGGGAAACATTTAGAGATTCCCATAAAGGAAATCTGTAATTTAGCCTGGGTGACAAGAGATTTCCATATAGGAAATCCGAAATTCGGCCTGGCTGAATAGAGATTTCCGTATAGAAAATTCAGAAATTCAGCCTGGCTGAGTAGAGATTTTCCCATATATTGTAAATCTGTCATTCAGCCTGGCTGAATAGAGATTTTTCTATAGGAATTTCAGTAATTCAGCCTGGCTGTAAAGAGATCTTTAATTCAGCCTGGCTGAATAGAGATCTGTAATTCAGCCTGGCTGAATAGAGATCTGTAATTCAGTCTGGCTGAATAGAGATCTATAATTCAGCCTGGCTAAATAGAGATCTGTAATTCAGCCTGGCTGAATAGAGATCTATAATTCATCCTGGCTGAATAGAGATTTTCATATACGACATCTCTAATACAGCCTTCCCCAAAAATTTACATTTTGCTAATAACTGAGCCACTGTGTGTTGTATCAGAGAAAAGTAAAAACAAAAAATGTGTGAGCATCATGCTGAGAGTTTTGTGGTAGGAGAGCCTAACAAAAACAAATTAATATCACTATTTTTTTTTTTGTCTCTTATTTTGTTGTGGCATTCGATTGCTGCCAGAATCGAATAGGAGAGTGTGTGGGGTTGTGTGTGTGTGCATATCTTTGGAGTTAAGAGCGCGCGTTGTAATTTAATACTTTCTGTTTGAAAAATAAGAACATTATCTTGGCATATCAAATGACCGTTGGGATAAAACTGGAAACTTGGAATTATTAGATTTTATTTTTCATTTTTTCTTTAAGTTATTACACACCTAGTAGTTGTTTGGTTGTTTGTATCCACTATGCCATATATATTTCTTCTTTGGCTTTAAATGCTGTTGATTTCATTTGTTTTTAAAAATAGAATTTTGCTTCTTTGATTTCTTTTTGGATGTTGATGATGACTTTTTTTTTTTTTTTTTGAATATGATTTTCCTTTCACTTGGGGGTTTTCCACTTAATATTGAATTTATTTCTTTCTTTTTGTTTTGTTTTTGTAATTCCAAAATAGCAGAACGACGAAAAAAACAATTTGGTATATTTTTCTTAATTATTTCGTCATTTGTGTATTTAATTTTTGTTTTTATATTTTAACGCGTCGTCATTGTTTTATTTCGTTTTTTTTTAATTCATTAGTTATTTTTAACTTTTGATTTTTGATATTTATAAACGTTTGAATATTATTTTGTTTTTTTTTCCGCTGACTACTATTTCGAAAATTCACCTCTTCAGGCAGGAGAAAAATCACATCAAAGAATAAAACTTTGTTCAACACGTCGTACGCTACGCCGTCGTCGTCTTTACGCAACAAAGTCTGGCAAATGAATGAAACGAATGATGATGAGTGTGGCTACCGTTGACTCTCTGAAACAAAACAAAACGAAAAAAACAAAAAATACAATTCATTCGTTTTTCGCTCGTAACAAAAACTCTCGTGTTACGGCCATCGTTTCTCATTTACGGCTGTGGTTGGAGTGAGGGATGAGCATTCTCTCACAAAGGTGGCCTTTTGAAATAACATAAATAAACGTCATATTATCATAGGATTTTTTATGAAATATTTTTTTAAACCATCGAGTGATTTGTTCTAAATACTTGCGGAAAACGTTGTGGAATTTTATAAAGAAACAGGTAAAAATACCGCTAAGTTCGGCCAGGCCGATCTTTGAATACCCTTTACCATTTGGAACGATTTTGGCAATTTTTAAAAAAAATATAATCCCTTAAAAATTCTGTTAAAATCTTAAAAATACCGAATGTAGCAGTTATATTAGGGTCAATACGACGACGTGGATGCGAAACTTAAATAAAAAATCGGTGAAAAATATAGCTAAAATCCTTAAAAATTCCGAATATAGGGAGGTACTTTTATTTTAGGCTATACGAAGACGTGGACTTGTACAGGCAATTTTCTGTCGTAGGCTGTAGCATCCGTTACGAACTTCAAATACCAAATTTGAACCAATTCCAGTGAACAATGTCGCTAAAGTCATCAAAATACCGAAAACGGGAGGTACCATTATATGGGGGTTATACGAAGACCTGGGCCTACATAGTTTTCTGCCATAGGCTGTAGTTCCCATTACGAACGTCAAATACCAAATTTGAAACAATTCCGGTGAATAATGTCGCTAAAATCATCAAAATACCGAATATCGGGAGGTACAATTATATAGGGACTACACGAAGACTTGGACCTACATAGACAATTCTCTGTCACTGACTGTAGCTTGTATTATGAACTTCAAATACCAAATTTGAAACAATTCCGGTGAATAATATCGCTTAAATCATCAAAATACCGAAAATCGGGAGATGCCGTTATATGGGCGCTATACGAAGACGTGGACTTGCACAGACAATTTCCTGTCTTAGGCTGTAGCATCCATTACGAACTTCAAATACCACATTTGAAACAATTCCGGTGAATAATATCGCTAAAATCATCAAAATACCGAATATCGGGGTATACCGTTATAGGGGCAATGTCGCTTAAATCACCAAAATACTGAAAAAAGGGAGGTACCATTATATGAGGGCTATACCAAAGAGTGTATCTACATCACCCATTTTCTGTACATAAAGTCCTGCAAACATAATACACATTTGAGTAAAATTTTATCAACCTACTTTATTTCGTTCGGAAGCTAGAGTGATTTCCACTGATGGACAGACGAACGGACATCGCTAAATCGACATAGAATTTTATGCTGATCAAGAATATATATCCTTTTGGGGGGTCTAAAATGAATGACAAACTTAATATACCCTCCATACCATGGTGGAGGGTATAAAAACTGGGTTTCGAAAAAGGCCCCACATCGGGCGCCATACTCTTTGATGTTACCCTTATTACTCATTGATTCCCTTGTTTTGCTCATTTGATTCTGCATGGCAAAAGAATTTAATTTGAATATGGACGCAGACATACAAACAATTGGCGGATTAATAGAACTGAAAGGATTTCAGGATGCAGTTGAATATTATTGGAAAATATGTTTTTTTTAACTTCTATAAAAACTACTTCTATACTTGATTTTATAATAAATAATTTTGGGATTATCAAACAACAGAAATGAAAATGGGCGATGACTTCAGCCAGTCAAATAAGTGCTTTATGTATTCCCACCTTTAAACTATAAATTTAAGTTATAAGGTAGGTATAGTAAAAAATATCCAACAATTGGACTTTACGACTATTCGAAACCTCCAAGTATTGTATACAATGTTTTCGCTTTATCATTTTTTTTTAATTTAAATTGCTGTAATTAAAACATAACAATTTGTTAATGAGTTGAACGCAAGAAAAAAACAACAAGAACAACAGAATTGTGAACATACAATTTTGCCACACAGGTATCTACAACAATCAACTATTTGCATGAACGGCCAAATGTGTCCATCAATCACACAGTGGCTAGAAATGATTGTACAAGAGATATACAGGGTGAGATAGAAAAAACTGCGACAAAGTCAAACGCCATAATTTTTATTTTTTTTTTAATTTTATTGAATGAAAGTAAAAAACTTTGTCGGAAATAGCATCAAATTTTAGAATAAATTAAACGAATTGGTCACCTTTGGCACGAATTATGGCCTTCAAATGGCCAATGAAACCGTCACACGCTGACCGAATGTTGCTCTGCGGTATTTTGGCCCATTCCCGGCGAAGCACTTGCTTGAGGTGATCGACACTTTGGTATTATTTAGTGCTATATCTTGCTTTCCAAAATACTCCAGACACAATAGTCCACAAAAGTTTTCTGGCAAATTCTCACAAAAATGATTTTGTTCGCTTGTAAACAATTTAATGATCTGTCACTGCAATAATTTTTGTCGGACTAGTGGCTTAGAAATGACAGCAGTCTGAAATTGTCTGCAGTTTTTTCATCTCACCCTGTCCGCACGAATATACACACTTTAAATATATATGCATAAAAATAAAACGTATATATGATCATGGCATTCCTCATCAGCAAATAATCTCATCAACGCAACAAATACAAATTATGCCAACATAAATGATTTGTCATCTATAGGTGTGTAAATAGATACTATGTGCTTTGCAGAAGAGAAGGAAGCACACTCGAGGAAAATTGTATTTTTTTTTTTGTTTTTCATTTATCAGATGACCCAGAATGTATTAATTCCAGTGTTTTTTTTAATATTATTAATAATTAGGGGTTATTAAATGATTTTTGCCGACATAACCTCACTTATCAATGTTTACTTATATCAATAAAGAAAAAAATGTTTATTTATTTTATTTATATCCGCAGTCCTAATGCCATGTTTACGTTAGATCTTTTTGTAGGGTTAACCTACTTTGAGAGGATTTATTTGAAATAAAAGTAATGGATATGACAATTTAAATCCAAACCCAGTGGGTTAACCCTCATATATATAAACGTACTTTAAGGCAGTGTATATATATTCCCATTCAATTAGATTCATTTGAACGTCAAAGCAAATTTATCGATAATTCCACGAATCAACAAAATCGATTTTCAGAGCCCTTATGCTTGTCGAACTATAAATCCCAACATTATTCGCTTTTATTTATAAAAACAACAACAGCTGATTGTTTTACCCGTTTTCCCATGTCCTTTTCGTAAACATAATCGGTCGTTATACTTTCCATTCCATTCGTAAACAAAAACATATTTATTCTCCCTCCCCTTCAATGGAGCTTTGGAACGCCTTTCATTCTGTTTGGTGCACATAACCAATTCAGTTTCCCACGACGAACGAACAATTCTAAAAAAGATAAAAAACAAACATTATCGTTTTATTTATTAAAGAAAATGTCCAAAATAACACGCAAAACATTAGATTTGAAGCAGGTAAATTGATACGCAACAAAATCCCTTCAATTTAATGTTATTTTATCATTGATATCCAGTTTATGTTACGTCAAGAAGTCTTGAAGTTATATCGGGAAATATTTCGGACAATCAAACAAGTGCCTGATGCCAGCAGCCAATATGAATTACGATCATGGGCTAGACATGATTTCCGTACAAATCGACATCAAACCGATGAAGTGGCCATAAAAATGCTCATACAAGCGGGAAGACGAAGTCTCACGGAGTTGCAGACAAGTTTACGTCTGAGTGGTGTCACTACCAGCAACCCAACAATCAGTGACAAAAAGTAGTGTTAATTGAAAGTTTTTAAAAGAGCCGTGAAATTAGCGATCCATCCCCCAATAATCGCAAGGACTGTGGCTCGTATGCAAACCAACCAATAATCCTCACCAAGATGTAATAAACTTATATTGTTTTCCTTTAACTCTTCGTTTTTTCGTGTTTATTATAAATGATTATAAATAATTATCGCAAAATGTTGCAATCCTATACAATAGTTGTGTATTTAACTGATTTAAAATATATTCGTTTTTGTTTTGATTTGTTTCAGCATTTCTTTTTTTTAATAATTTAAACTACTAAAGCTTAAGTGTATTTCTTTGTCTACCAATTATTGCTATTCAATATGAAGTCTGTTGTTTGCGTAGAATTCTCGCCATTTCCCCTAAAATAAATATCTCAATAAACTTATCCACAGCACCTTGGTTACGGCTAACAGAAACAGCAACGAACCAATGCCCGTGGCTATGAGCGATACAACATCCCGTTTGGCTTTTTCGGTAATACGATTGACTAGAAAACTATTGACAATGGTGTTGACAATGGCATTACCGTCAAAGCCAAAACAGGGTATGGCATTGATCAGGGCCAAGCCCAAACTAAATACAATATTGTATTTGAGGAACAATATGAAATTATCACACCATTTGGGATTGATGTACTCATGTTTGGGTACATATTGTGAAATGCGTATGCTGCGTGTCACATCCAAGGGGTGGCCCATATAGATGACATTCTTCAGCGGTGCATCCTGAGCTTTTAGTGATTGCCGTTTGAATATCATTATCGTTGTGGTGTTCTTTAGCAACGGACGCAAACAAAAACCTCGCTCGCATGTACCCGATGCTGTACAATAACCATAGGAATCTTCCATGGTGCGCCTGACATCAAGGCAAACGTGTTGAGGAATTTCCACAGGAGCATCATTATTAAAATCATCGATGTATTCGAAGCAACAGAGTTTCGCATTGTTTCCGCAACACTGCAATGTTCCATCTGAGCTGTGGTGGGCTATTTCAATGCTCTCATCATTCAAACGTATAAAATCCGATGAGACACAAAAGCCGGGGAAATGCAAAGAATTCACCAGACAATTATACCAAGTATCTTCATTGGAGACCGGGCAATCGTTGATGTGTGTGATAACATTACCCTCCACTAGGCCGCGATCTCCTTTTGCCCTTAACGGAGATTGGGCTGTGACCTGGGTGACTATGACATTCTTATTGAGCGAGTACAAAGGCGAAGCCATAAAACTCATGGTTGAAAGCAGCAGATAGCAAAGGCCTGCAAAAACAAAATTATGCCATATTCCAGCACAGAGGATGCGTAGTTTCTTCAGCCATTTCAAAGCATTTAGATGATCTGTAGATATTTCAGTATAGGCCACCGGCAAACAGAAATATAGCTAAAAGAAAGATGTAACTGAATAAATAAAATATCGTTCCCTTGAAATTAACGAATGTTCGATAACTTACATGAAAGCCAAAACCAGTTACCGGTATATCTTCCATCACGGCAGCCAGGGCATGACCCAATTCATGTATTACCGTCGATATCAACAGTGTGGCTACATAGTAACCAATTTCTTCCAGTGGCAAATTTACACCGGGCAATAAGATTTCCACATTTATGCCTTGACTTTTCACCACATTTGCTGCTCCACCCGTAGCAAAGTTATTGACGTCCGTTTCTTTTCCGGAACCACCACCACCACCAAATATTGTTATAAACAATAGTATTATGCCAACGGGCACCAATGATAATGCGACCAGCACACCAACTGTAAATGACTTATTTATCAATTGTCGGCAACAGTTTCCGCTGTTGTTGCCCAAACGCAGTACCCAACGATTAAATGCCGTCGTATGCCATTTTAGATGGAACAAGCCAACTGTTAGTCCAGTATTTGTAAGAAATGCCTCATAGGGGTAATGCATGCAGCTCTAAAAAGTAGGAGACAGGGAATGGAGCTATTACAAATTTGAGATAGTGAGCAAGGAGTTCTTACCTTAAAAAATCGATCGAAGAATAGCAGAACACCATATATGGCAATTAAGACACCAAAAAATATCCAAGGATCCATAGTTCCATATTCACCATGTACAATTGTGGAGGCCTATTCCCGATTTTCAGGAAAATCTTCGAAATCGCCTTTTATTCCATTTGTGCGAATGAACTATTTGTGTGAAGTGATTAACTGAATTGAGCACGTGAACTAGTTAAAGAATGCAGTTTCTTTTATGACAATTCACGGTGCATTCTTTTATTTTCCCGTTACATATTGCTCGATAAATCCCGTCTTTTTGACATATTGTATTCCTATATCCTTTTTGGTACTTGCTGTCGAATGATTAAAAATAAAAGTTTTTAATCATTGTCATAGAACAAACTGCATTTGTCAACTAGTTCGTGTGCTCATTTTAGTGAATCACTTCACAAAAACAGTTTATTCGCACACTACGACGACGACGCATCCAGCAACATACGTTTTTGAGAAAATGTTTATTTAAATATTTTTCCACAGTAAAAAAAGTAAATAAAATGGATGAACTGCAAAAATTGGAGCATTTATCGCTGGTGTCCAAACTCTGCACCGAATTGGACAACCATTTGGGCATCAACGACAAGGATTTGGCCGAGTTTATAATTGAATTGGAATCCAAGAATCCCACGTTTGAGGGATTTCGAAAGGCATTGGTGGAAAATGGAGCTGAATTCCCAGATTCGTTGATTTCCAATCTCCAGAGAATCATCAAATTAATGAAACCTACAGGTGGTGGGGCAAGCAGTGACAAATCGGCAGCAGCTGGGGGAGCAGACAGCTCAGGCAACAAATCATCCAAAACCGAACAACTGGCTGTAATGTTTCCTGGCTTAGCAATGCCCAATGATAAATTCAGTAAAGTCGATGAACCTGAATCCCATTCCGAAAATGACAGTGATGCTGATGAAAAGAAGACGAAGAAGAAAAAGGACATCATAAAGAAAGTTGAAGAGGAAGATATGAAAGCTGTGGATGATGCCATGTTGGAATTGGAGGCTTTAGCTCCAGGATTTGTCAGCAAAGTAGAAACAAAGGATATTAAAAAGAAAGTGGAAAAAAGATCCCGCTCTAGATCGAGGTCCAGAGATAGACACCGTGACCGTGATAGGAAAAGAGATCGAAGCCGTGAACGCACAAAAGACCTGGATAGTTCAAGAAGCCAAGATAAAGATCGTCGTCATAGAGATCGTGAACGACGTTCAAGGTCAAGATCTCGTCATCGTGGTGAACGCAAAAGATCTCGTTCCCGCTCCAGGGAGAACAGTAGAAGACATCGACGCTCAAGATCACGTTCACGTGATAGAAGACGACGTTCCAGGTCTAGATCGAAGGAGAGATCGCGCCATAATAGGAGATCCAGGTCGCGTGAATACAAACGTGAAAAGATGCCACCACCAGCACCAATGCCAGATGATCCAGAACCGGGTAAAATATACACCGGTAAAGTGGCAAACATTGTGCCCTTTGGCTGCTTTGTCCAACTGTTTGGTTTGAAAAAACGCTGGGAGGGTCTGGTGCACATATCCCAGTTGCGTTCCGAGGGTCGTGTTACGGATGTTACAGAGGTGGTTAACCGCAACTCCACGGTTAAGGTAAAGGTTATGTCGATCACGGGACAAAAGGTGTCCCTGTCTATGAAAGAAGTTGACCAAGAGACGGGACAGGACTTAAATCCCCTATCACATGCCCCTCCGCCGGAAAATGAACTTAAAGATCGCAATCCAGATCGTCCGTTTGGTGGTGGTACATCCCTGCTGAATTTGCAAGGTGGAGCCGACAATGATGAAAGCGATTCCCGGAAACGTGTAACACGTATCTCTAGTCCCGAGCGATGGGAAATCAAACAAATGATAAGCTCCGGCGTGTTGGATCGCAGTGAACTGCCCGACTTCGATGAAGAAACGGGCCTTGTACACAAAGATGAGGATGATGAAGAAGATATTGAAATAGAAATTGTCGAGGAAGAACCACCATTTTTGGCAGGTCATGGTCGTGCTCTGCATGACCTATCACCGGTACGTATTGTCAAAAATCCGGATGGCTCTTTGGCCCAAGCTGCCATGATGCAATCTGCCCTCTCCAAGGAACGTCGGGAGCAGAAAATGTTGCAACGTGAACAAGATATGGATGCAGTTCCCACGGGACTAAGCAAGAACTGGATAGATCCCTTGCCAGATGAGGATTCAAGCCGAACCTTGGCGGCAAATGTAAGGGGCATGGGTGCAGCACCCATGGAGGTTCCCGAATGGAAAAAGCACGTTATAGGCGGCAAGAAGTCCTCGTTCGGCAAGAAAACCGACATGTCATTGGTGGAGCAAAGAAAATCCCTGCCCATTTACAAGCTACGTGACGATTTGATTAAGGCGGTGACCGATAATCAAATTTTGATTGTCATTGGTGAAACGGGCTCTGGCAAAACTACTCAAATCACCCAGTATTTGGCTGAATGTGGTTTTACAAATCGTGGAAAAATTGGTTGTACTCAGCCACGTCGTGTCGCTGCCATGTCCGTGGCCAAACGTGTGGCCGAAGAGTTTGGTTGTCGTCTGGGCCAAGAGGTGGGCTATACCATTCGTTTTGAGGATTGTACCAGTCCTGAGACTGTCATTAAATACATGACAGATGGTATGTTGCTGCGTGAATGTCTCATTGAGGCCGATCTGAAATCCTATTCGGTCATTATGTTGGACGAGGCTCATGAACGTACCATCCACACGGATGTACTGTTTGGCTTACTAAAGACGGCGGTTCAAAAACGTCCCGAACTGAAATTAATTGTGACCTCGGCCACTTTGGATGCTGTCAAGTTTTCTCAGTATTTCTTTGAGGCACCAATCTTTACGATACCAGGTCGAACTTTCCCCGTGGAGGTGTTGTACACAAAGGAACCCGAAACTGACTATTTGGATGCTTCATTGATCACCGTTATGCAAATTCATTTGAGGGAACCACCTGGAGATATTTTGCTGTTCTTGACGGGTCAAGAAGAAATCGACACCGCCTGTGAGATTCTCTATGAACGTATGAAAAGTTTGGGGCCTGATGTCCCAGAATTGATTATATTGCCCGTCTACTCAGCCCTGCCGTCTGAGATGCAGACAAGGATCTTTGACCCTGCCCCGCCGGGTAGCCGTAAAGTGGTTATTGCCACCAATATTGCCGAGACATCGCTAACCATAGATGGTATCTTTTATGTGGTGGACCCGGGATTCGTGAAACAGAAAGTTTACAACTCCAAAACAGGCATGGATTCTTTGGTCGTTACACCCATATCACAGGTAAGAGATTATGGAAATAGTTTGATATTGAAATTATTTAATTTCTATTCGTTTTGTATTTTATAGGCCGCTGCTAAACAACGTGCCGGACGCGCTGGTCGTACTGGGCCCGGAAAATGCTATCGTCTCTACACGGAACGTGCCTATCGCGATGAAATGCTGCCCACCCCTGTTCCCGAAATTCAGCGTACAAATCTGGCCACAACAGTGCTGCAGTTGAAAACCATGGGCATTAATGATCTTTTGCATTTCGATTTTATGGATGCTCCACCTGTCGAATCTTTGGTAATGGCCCTGGAACAGTTGCACTCCCTGTCGGCTTTGGATGATGAAGGTCTGCTGACACGCCTCGGTCGGCGCATGGCCGAGTTCCCCTTGGAACCTAATCTCTCGAAAATGTTAATTATGTCGGTGGCCCTGCAGTGTTCCGATGAGATTCTGACCATCGTTTCCATGCTCAGCGTACAAAATGTCTTCTATCGCCCCAAGGACAAACAGGCATTGGCCGATCAAAAGAAAGCCAAATTCAATCAGATTGAGGGTGATCATTTGACCCTGCTGGCTGTGTACAACAGCTGGAAAAACAATAAATTTTCCAATGCCTGGTGTTATGAGAATTTCGTACAAATTCGTACACTCAAACGGTCGCAGGATGTTCGCAAACAATTGCTGGGCATTATGGATCGTCACAAATTGGATGTGGTGTCGGCTGGCAAGAATTCGGTGCGCATACAAAAGGCCATTTGTTCGGGTTTCTTCCGTAATGCCGCAAAAAAAGATCCCCAAGAAGGTTATCGCACCTTGGTCGATTCCCAGGTGGTTTACATCCATCCATCCAGTGCCCTCTTTAATCGTCAACCCGAATGGGTTATATACCATGAATTGGTACAAACCACCAAGGAATATATGCGAGAAGTTACGACCATAGATCCGAAATGGTTGGTGGAATTTGCACCGTCGTTCTTTAGATTCTCCGATCCAACGAAATTAAGTAAATTCAAAAAGAATCAAAGACTTGAGCCGCTATATAACAAATATGAAGAGCCGAATGCTTGGCGTATATCTCGTGTGCGAAGAAGAAGAAATTGAAGAGATGGCAATGCCTATTTGTTTAATTTTTTAGGATTTAAATTAAGTTACTACTTTTTTATAAGTTATCATGATAAATTATGTAGCTACTTGGAGATTATGTGCTAGCTAAAATATTCAAAAGAGAGAGAGACAGAAATACACGAGAAAATGTATTTTGAAATGACCCAAAAATATGATGTTTTATTTATTATTTATTATCATATTTAACAATAACAATATAAGTGCAATTACTTTGCTTTGAATTGAGGGCAAAAATATTACCGTCATACGAGTACTCGTATACTTTACCGGATTTAAAATGCCAATTCCATTCCATATGCGTCAAATACATCCTCATGCCATAAAATATGTTTATCCTTAAATTTTGCACCAATGGGACAATTATTTTCAAGAATTACGAGTTTTCTTTTGGTAGCCCTATAATGTCAAACTTCGACGGTGTTCAGTGGCGCCCAAGGAGACGGCGAAACATTGTTTTTATTTCTGCTTAAATTCGTGGTAAAAAGTTGAACATTCTAGCAGTTCTGGAACAGAGGAAATGTAAAAATTATTACTACGATAACCGATTTTAATTTTATGATATCGAAAAAATTGCAAAACTAGTAAATTTTTGCAGGTTGTCGATCAGCGCATATATCACAAACAAATTACGTATTTCGCATGGTACAATAAAATGAAGGTAACCTCATTTTAAATAAGCATTCCCAGCTCTGCATTTTCTGTAATTTATCTTGTCAAATTTCACTGCATTGAAAACAGTTCCTATCTATGATTTTGTGTGTATGCAATGGATTGATGAATATAGATTTTGACAATGAAATGTTGTCAAAGGTAAAACATTTGAAAAAATTACAAACATATGATTGTATGACTTTACCTTCTTAATTCTACCATCTCAATTTCATTGCATATTCGTCAAATAAAACCTCATAAAGAAGATAAATGGCTAATGTAAACATACTATTACAAAGGGGTTTCACCCATGGTAAAAGAATACAGGTAGATGCATCGACGCTTGGGAAGATTTATACATCAATCAATTTTAAAGTGTTTCTTCAAAAATAAGTAGATTTTTATAGGTTTTCAATTCCGACGCTTGGGAACATTGATATTGGCATCCGGAGATTTTGTTGGCAATTTTGCGCAGTAAATAAAGCGAGGAACCCCATTTTGTAATCATTCTTGGGTGGCGGGTGCTGAGTGCGATGGTGCTGAGTCCTGTTAGAATGTCCAAGGTCTGCGGCCAAAATGTTTGCGTACCCAAGGCTTTAATACACCCTCCAGAATATTTTCGCGATAATATTCAGCATTTATTCTGATGCCATGGTCGATTAATACGAGCGGAGAGCGACCATCGGCTGTTATGGCGGCCCACACCATCACCATGGGCGGCCCTTGAGTTGTGGTGGCCAACTGAAGTTGACCAGACCTTTTTGGAAAGTAAGCACGATAATTTTTCTTCTTTACAAACTGCTGGACAACAATTGTTTTCTGATCGGAAAAAAACAACTCTTTAGCTCTTTTGAGTCTATTTTCTTTCTATTTTCGTTGCGGTGTAAGCTCTTGCACTTTTTGGAATTTCAATGGCTTTACCCCGAGTTCATTATTCAATATTTGCCGAATGGAGCATTGCGTTATGTTCACCTCACTATCCATTTTTTCGGCAACTGCGACGCGGGTTTCGATCAAGTAGCTTCTTTACTTTTCGAACCATTTCTGCTGATGTGGCTGTTTTCTTCCGTCCACTTCCTTGACGTCGGCGGGCTACGCTAGCAGTATCACGGTAACGAGCGATGGTACGAGACACAAAAGATTTATTCACATTCAAATGCTGGAGTGCTCTAACGATAGCCACTTGTCGATTTCCAGTCAAATATAAAGAAAAAACACTATCACGCTTCAATTCCATCAGGAATAACATTTTTGTCGGGAAAATTCTCACCAATATAATTTTGTACGCTTGTAAAGAATATAATGAGCTGTCACTGGAATAATTTTAACAGCTGTCGGACGAGTGGCTTAGAAATGACAGTAGTCTGAAGTTGGTTGCAGGTTTTTAATCTCACCCTGTACATACACATATATGAGGTGGAACCTGTTTTCTATTCTATACCTTCTTAATTTTACCATGGATAAAACTATCAAAAATATTATCTTTTGACAGCTTTAGGATTTTTTTTTTCATGAAATTCCTAGTGTGGGCCGATATTTGGCAACATCTGAAGCACTTTGTGTGATTAAACAGAGTTCAGATTTTCCATTAAATTGTTGAAATAACATTGTTATTTCATTCACTTTTTCCCAAATTCATTTGTTTAATTTCATGGTAGAAGAATACAGGTAGTCGCATCGACTTAACTGCTGGGACAATGAACTGTCAAACCGATTTTGGAATTGAAAAACTTGAATGAAAAATTATTGAAATTTGTAAAAATTTTTGAAAAAAGAATATTATAACAACCCCCCATTTGCGTCGTATAAGAAAACATATAAAGATCTATTTCTTTTTTGACAAAACACTTTAAATTTTTTAACATATTAATGTTCCCAAGCATTGATGCATCTACCATGGTATTCTTCTACCATGGTTTAATTTTGTGTAAAAACACAGTTCACATGAACATCGTTGGGTTTTGAAAAGTTAAAATCAAAAATTTTCTCAAAAAATTATTATACCAAGAATGTACCGATTACATTACTGCAACCACTACATAGCGAGTAGTCACAATTTTGACAACACTGTTCAGAGGCACTTGAATTCTTTTTTATTTTACGAAGAGCAACGGACCCCATCCGTTCATCCGTCAGTCATTCATTCATTATTATACATAGGGAAAAATTGGTTCTAAGCTGTGGCCATTAAAGAAAGCAACTTCATATTTTTGGTTTACAAACTAAATTTAATAACGAAAAGATGCAAAGAAATGTGATAAAAGTGTTTAAACGGGCAACAACAACAACAAATTGAAGCAAACGAAGAAAGAAAATGGTAGAAGGCAAAACTATTGCAAGCCTCCTCCGCCACACAAGCGGCACCAAACTTCGTGTACATTAGAATAAAGGGGGAGATAGAATAGGAAAGGAAGTGACAGAGATCTCTGGCAGCAGTGGCGCGACGGCTAGTAGGGGAGGTGGCATACAAATTGGAAGTGTTCTTCGAGTAAAGGAAGGTAAGAAACATAGCCGATTGGCAGGAAAAAAGCGAGGTATACTATACCAAGCGGGAAAACATACATAGTTTTTCGCTTGCCTTTTTCGCCTTCTTCAATTATTCTTCCATAAAAAAATGCTAAAAAATGGAGATGTAATTTTACAGGGTAATCGATTAAGAAACAAAATAACCGTTTTTTTTTCTACATTGGTTACTTTTAAGTGGTAAGAACGAAAAGCGGAAAAGTGGTAATGGAACATATTGTAGAATGCACAGAAGAATACGAAAAATACCGAAGAAATAAGGAATACATATAAATTAAAGAAATAATTGGACCCCCAGGCCAAATGCCAAGGAATGTGAAATGTCTGACAATAAGAACAATTTTAACACAAATTCCATCATGCCAACTAATGTGCCCCTTTTCTTTCTTTTTTTTTTTTACAGATTCTATACCTACTCTTGGTTTGGTTGGTTGGCTGCCATATAAAAACGCAAGCTTAGTATAGAGGGGAACTTAAGCATTTTTTTAAGTTTCAAAAAGAAAGGAAGAGCATAAATACGTTTTATTTTTTATAGAAAACCATACAAACGAAACTTCTTAAACCTATACGTCCAACATCAAACAAAACAGAAACCATGGTCTCTACTAGGCAAATGTCGACAACAGGCACAAGCGGTAGCGGCAACATGCCATCCTCCATGGAGGAAATGAATCTTCTGCGTCCAGTTGTCACCAGACAATCAAGCACCAACTCCAGTGGCAGTATATCATTGTTAACACCGGCGTCGTCATCGTCGTATTCTTCATCATCATCGTCATCAGTGGTTGCAGCAGTGGGAATAACCCATGGCACTGCCTCAACCAGTGCCCGACAAACGCAGGCGTTTAAATCGTATTCCAATTCAACTGGATCGAATGTAATAACGACGACGACAGCGGCGACTACGACGACGACGTCACACCAACAACATCCACAGCAGAACATCAATGGTAGTCACATTGTTGTTGTCCGTGATCAACAACAAACGACATCACCATCATCGAAGGCAACAAATTTATTAGATTTGCCCGAAGAAGTTCTTTATACAATATTGTCATATGTTGGTTTTAAAAAAACGGGTCAATTGCGTGTGGTAAGTTTGAATGTGTGGGTGTGTGTACTATTGGGTTGATATATTTCGGATAAGCTCTAGTTTAGTAAAAACTCTTCGGATTTTTCGAAATTTTTTCCAGAGGTAGTTATTTTTACCCTGATTTCGGGAAACTATTTTTTTCTTGGGGGACGAAGAGGGACTTACCCGATGTAGACACATAGCGTTAGCCGGTGTGGGATATACACAGAGGAGAAAATCTCAAGCCCCGGGCGAAGACAGGCTACTTACAACAACAGTTCAATTTATAAAAAAAAAAAAACAAAAAAAACTTTAGTTCCCTTAGCCGGTTTAACGTACCCAGAAGTGAATGTCTTTGGACCCAGAAAAGGTATTAGCACAAACTGTAGCATTTTAGAATGCTAAGAGTGTCAGCAATAATTTGCCATCAATTTGCTTAAGGCCCATAATGGGCCCTTTTTCGTCTTTTCGGGGGTTTTATAAAAAAATACTGGTCCAAAAAATTAATAATTTGACTATAACTTTCCAACCGTCAAAAATCTGGGGACCCGCGTCCGTCCCCCAAGAAAAAAGTTGTTTCCCGGGATCAGAGTAAAAATACCTACCAATGGAAAAAATTTAAAAAAAAATGAAGAGCTTTTACTAACCTAGAGTTAAGCCTATATTTCATATTATTGTAAGATTGATTTTGATCACTTGTATCTAGTAACAAGTAAAATAGTGTCAGTCGGGTTTTCTGAAACTTTTTAAACTGTTGACCCTTTATGGGAGAGGTTCCGAAGCAGTTGGACAATAGTGACCAATTCGTATCAGACCTAAGACAGGTAAAAATATTACAAAGTGCCAGATTTGGACTATATTGACTACTTCCTATATTTTATATGATGAGACTTGCAAATTTTTGGAAAATGTGGTAACAGATATATCGGACCGAAGTATTCCATTTTCGTAATTCATATAATATAGATCAAAATATTGGTATGTTCAAAATTTGAAGGAAATCGAACATATATATCCAATCATAAATTCCGATAAATTACATATTTATGTCAGATTTCTGGTTGAGTTAAATATTTAGATATAGCAAGTTATAAAGAATCGCCGACTTGGTTCGCAAGCTATTATATAAGTATTGGAAATTGTAACCCATTGTGGGTGAGGTACCAGAAGGGTTTGGCAGATATATATCATCTTCACAATAGATTTTTCATGAGCACAAATATTGAGGATGTGTTAAATTTGATGAGAGTAGGATTCTTATTTCGATTTCTTGGAGGAGGTACCAGAAGGTACCAGGTATCTGGGGGAGGTACCTGAAGAAATGGTCCGATCTGTACCATCATTGTAACTGAACTTGTATTAATGGAAATATAGAGATGTACCAAGTCTGAATGGAATCGGATGTTAATTTTGCGTTCTATAAGCTACTCAAAATCTCAAATACTCAAAATCTTGACCCCTTGTAGAAGAAATTAAACTATATTTCTCATCTTCACAGCAGATCTGGTGTTAATAAAAAAATGAGATGTGTGCAATTTGTAGAGAACCGGCTGCTTATTTCGTATTTTATGATCGTTTTGGTTATTCAAATTTCGACGCTTTGTGGGGGAGGAATGGTCTGATCTCTACCATCTTTATAAAAGATCTTGTGTGTATGGAAATATTGAGATGAATGGAATTGGATGTAAATTTCGTGTTTTATAAGCTTCCTGGATATTAACATTTTTGACCCTTTGTGGTGGAGGTAGCACAAGGAGTTGACCGATATATCCTATGCTCACACCAGATCTTGGGTAAATAGAAATATTGTGGTGTGTGCAATTTTAAGACAATCGGACATCTACATCATCACATTTTATAAGACTTAAAATTATTCAAAATGTTGACCCTTTGTGCCTTGAAATCACAATATTTAAATAGTACTCGGGGAGTAAGCATTGTGGTTAGTTTATTTTCACTCCTTACATCTTCGGATGATAATGTGGACCCATTGTTATGACATATTTTACATGATATCAATATAAATTTTAATAGTCTGTATCAAGTGTAGGCATATGTTGATGGCTTTGAAGAATTTAGTCCCTCCTTCGTAATGATCTTCCCTGACAGAGAGATAGACACCGTGAACGTAACTGCCTTAGAGAAGAATTACTTGGCTTAACTACTCCTTCGTGGGCAAAAAACACCAGCATCATATTTGCAACTATTTGACAGGTTGTGTGTAGGATAATATCCACAATGGTGCCAAATTTTTAAGGGCTTCTATTTATTTCAGATCACCCCAACAATTGTATATCCAACCCACTACTAGGTTTGAAACCAAATATTTAGCAGTTTATCCACAAACGCACACACTGTCTTCCCCACTATATGCATCAGTATGTCATATGTATACAGTCCTGCATCCAATTTGTTTAATTTATTATTTTCGGATGCAAGAAAATTTGATATTTGTTTGTCTGGTAATTTGATACCTTGAGAGCCAAGCTAACGCTGTAGCGCATTGTTGGGCATAATAATATGAGATGGAAGGAGAGTAAGTAGAGTTATCATATTCCACCATGAATCTTGTTCTTACAATCTAAGAGGTCTTAAAACCATAAAACGAAATATCTCCACAAAAAATTAAGACAATTCAAGCAAACCTAGAAGAGGAACAATTGCGAATTCGTAAAGCACAACACTTTGTTTTAAGGGGTGGCAACAAGCAAAGGGAATAAAAATTGTGCCATAGGCACATTTTACTGCATTCTCCGGCTGAAACATGAAGTTCTCCAAAACAGCAGAAATCTATTACAAAGTTGGACACGATTGCTTCAAATCGTTTTAGATATCCATTTAATTATGGGACCCAATTATTTCCTACTCACCTTAGCTTCCACAATGTATCACCCAATATTTAATTTTGAAAACTTTTTTTTTATTTTCTAGGTATCCCACAAAATGAACGATGTTTGCATGCACATGTTGAATTCGACATTTTCCAAGTTAATCACCAAGACCTACAATCGTTTTCAGGCCATTAAGGCCAACATGCCACGCCGTGAATCGGCCAGACGTAATCATCCTCTAGCTTGTGAATGTGATATCATTGAGACGTGTTATATGCGATTGTCGCTTTTGCAAATGACATTTGGTAAACATATCGAACGTGGCCATTGTTGTTTCTTTCCGGGAGCAGTAAGTTAAATTTGATTTCAAAATGTTTCATTAAAACACTGTAATTTTTGTTTTTCTTCACCCCGCCACAGATACTCGATGAGGTGTATACAATTTTGAATTACATTAAGAATACACCATGCCTGGAGCGTCCCTATCGGGTGACCGATGAACTCTTTGATTTATCAACAATGGCCATGGAGTATTTTAGGGATCACATAGAGCCCACATTGCCGGGCATTGCATATTTCAATAAGGAATTCTTTAAATTACCCACAACAACGAAACGACGTAAGGACCACAAATTTCATCGATGCCAAAACCAATTTAATTTTTTTACATTTTTCCAGCCTTGGTGATTGCCTCCGATTTAGCTGACAACTCCTCCAGCCTACCCTCACCACCGCAAAGCAATATGGTATTGCGCAAGGGTATTCGGAAGATCAAGCAAGGCATGAAAATCTATAATAATCAATTATCTGTGCTACGCAATGAATTGCGTACCTGTAAACGTAAATCCGCCGAGCAGGGCAAACAAATTGCCGAACAGCAAAAACTCATGGCCGAACAGCGTAAGCAAACCCTGGAATATGCCAATCGTTTGGATGAAAACGACAAGAAAAACGAAGAAATGGCAAGGAAATTTTCCACATTATTACAGGTGGGAAGGGGGGGATGAAAAAGCCATTCCATTCCATTACTTCATTTAATTTTAATTTATTCCAGGAACTCAACAAATGTAAAACTGAATTGCAATATTGGCGTTCAAAAAGTCCGGCCATACCCACATGTGCATCGTGTGGCCAGAAAGTCACACCCACCCTACCGGCTGAGGATTATCAGGCTCTCATCAATCAGGGTGTTAAACCGGAAGATATTATACTCAGTCTCAAGGATACCGATGTCGATAATGACAGTGATTTAAGCCTGAACGACAGTGGCTGTAATAATTTGTCCCTATGCAATGAGGAGTTTGCATTTCCGGATGAACAAACCACAGCCAAGCTGTTGGCTGTGAACACGGCCTCTAGGAATCTTAAACGCCAGCATTGTCAATTGAGTACCCCCTCACAGGCATGTAATGTTTCATGCAACGAGCAACAGCAGCAGCTGCAGCATTTAACAGAATTTGTGGATTGCAATGAGGCTTCGACTAGTTCAAGTGCCTTTATTGCAACTGGGGGTGGTGATGGCTATGCGACACGCCTATTCTATGGAGCCACACACAACAGTGGCCCAAAGAATGTGGCTCAACATAAAAGTGTTATTGTCTCGCCACAATCCCAGCGAATAAGTGTGCTGGAACATTCAAGAAATAACGATGCCAACGATCCCGTACCGGATGACAACAATTCGCTGGCCGCTCTCAATCAAGATAAGGCTGATGATGTCAATAGCCTTATGTCCATTTCGTCTCATGAAACCAAGAAAGCACGTAGAGTACAAAAAGCCGCTAGGTGTTTAAACGGCTCTAGTGGTAAACGTAAATAATAACAATATTTGTAATCATATTGATACACAACAACCACAAACAACAACAACAAATCAATTCAATTTTCAAAAATCTAAAAAGAAAACAAAACAAAAAATCGATACAATTTTTAAGAATGCCCTAATTTTAGACTTACAAAATAAATAAAAAAAAAAAACATATATACATACACACCCCTCTTACATGCATACATAACATATATTTAAATGTATGGTGACGAAAAAAAATACAAAAAAAAAATAAAAATAAAAAATATTTGATAATATATTTTTAAAAGAAAACAACCCCCACAAACAACAAAGTTATTCCAACACACAAAATAACCGACTAGCAACTCAGAAAAAGATCTATTCTACAATAAAACACACACATTTCAAAAACAGCCACAGAAATCCACATGAAGTTATGTTGCAATATTTTAAATAGCAATCCCACTCCTGAAGAAGAAAAAAAAAAAAACATTCACAATAGTAAAGGATATAAAATATGTTTTTTAAATTTGAAAATAACTTTACACCACAACCCCATAGACACCGGCTAGAGACTTTCAAAGTTGTACCACTTTATATTTAAGTTTTAATTGTTATTATTTTGAAAACAAAAGCAAAAAACAAAAAGAACTTGAAAGTTTCACAACCCCTCCCCCCAGTAACCCAACAAATCCCCAGAAGTAATACACCTTTTTTTCAATTTTCAGGAAAACAAAAAACAAGAAGCTGTGTTGATTTCTATTTTTTTCTATAATAGAAACAACAAAAGGCAACAAAAAAGATTATATAATAAAAAGAAAGACTATAAAAAGTATGAAATTTGTTATTTTTCTTTTTTACTTATAGTGGGAGATTGATCTTGACTTCATTTTACCCTCAGCCATATGGCTAGAGAGAGGGTATAAAAAAAACAAGGTAACTGCTGAGGATTGGTGGCTCTTTCCGAAACCTAGGTATTCCCTGCCTTACCCCCTGGTAAACATTACCATCGTTCTCCACTATTAAACTAACGTTGTTTTTAAAAAAACTGTTCTAAAAAAATGCCACAAAGTCAAACGCCATAAGTTTTACATTTATTTCTTTTTAATTTTATTGAATGAAAGCAAAAAATGTCGGAAATAGCATCAAATTTTAGAATAAATTTAGATTTGTTCGAATTGGTCAGTTTTGGTACAAATTATTGTCTTCAAACGGCCAATGAAACCGTCACACACGGCCCGAAAGTTGCTCTGCGGTATTTTGGCCCATTCCCGGCGAAGAGCTTGCTTGAGGTGATCGACACTTTGGTATTTTTTAGTGCCAACCATGCTTTCCAAAGTACTCCAGACACAATAGTCCAACGGATCGGTATCCGGAGAATTTGGGTGGCCATTGTGCGCTGGAAATGAAGCGAGGAACCTCATTTTGTAACCATTCTTGCGTGGCGGTGGCGTGCTGGGTGCGATGATTCTGAGTCCTGTTTGAATGTCCAGGGCCTGCGGCCAAAATGTTTGCTTAATACACCCTCCAGAATATTTTCGCCATAATATTCTGCATTTATTCTGATGCCATGGTCGATTAATAAAAGCGGAGAGCGACCGTCGGATGTTATGGCGGCCCATACCATCACCATGGCCGGCGCTTGAGTTCTGGTGGCCAAGCGAAGGTACACATTTTCAGCTGGCCTCTTTGGCAAGTAAACACGAGCGGATCATTTTGTTTCATTACAAACTGCTGGAAACGAATGTTTTCTCATCGGAGAAAGCCAAATTCGGCAGTTCACCACTTTCGGCAAAGCGAAGCAACTCTTTAGCTCTTCTGAGTCTATTTTCTTTCTGTTGCGGTGTAAGTTCTTGCACTTTTTGAAATTTCAATGGCTTTACCCCTAGCTTATTTTTTAATATTTGCCGAATATTGCGATATGTTCAGCTCACAGGCCATTTTTCGGCCATTGCGACGAGGATTTTGATCAAGTCGCATCTTTACTTTTCGAACCATTTCCTTTAACCAGAAATCTGATATGCATTTGTTATTTATCGAAATTTATACTTTCGCTTAAAATTGGATATAAATGTTCAATTTTCTTGTAATTTTGAACATACCAATACATTTATCTGTATTAGATGAAGTATGAAAATGGAATATTTCGGTCCACACTATATCTGTTACCCCTCGCATATTTTCACATTTTCCAAACATGATCACATATCTCATGTAAAGTATAGGAAGTATTCGATATAGTCCAAATCTGGCACGTTGTAATATTTTTTTAAAGTTTCTATAAAAACAAAATTCCGCTTGCAAAAGCCAAAGGTTGTTATATTCTAAATATTTTACGTTTTCTGAAGAAGCTAGATACGAAATTAATTCCATATTTGATCGGAATTCGTTTCTCTAACATTCCTGTATAGCGGTATTTACTTAACGTTGTTCTGCAATCAATTGAGAAAAGTGCAAAAAGTATTTTTTACCCCACTGTAAATGTACTAACAACATCTATACGCGCACATTAAAACATACTAAAATTTGTATGTACATATGTATGTTTATATGTATACACCTGCTTTTTTCGAAATTGTTCATATGAATGGTTCATAAAATGTTATGTGATGTTCTGGTAAGAGACTACAAAACAAAAACATGATTTACTATGACCTATTCCAAAGATTTGTGATTTGTTGCGTAAACAGACATTGGGCGGGTGTGAGAAAGTTGGTATTGAAAAATTGTGTGACAATTACACACAATATTAAAATATATAGAGAAACGATTAATTCTCTTGATTCATTATTGAAGCCTTAAACATCTTTTCCATTAAAATTTTGATTGAGAAATTGATATATTTTTGAAAATCCTCGAAATAGCACTGTAAACTATTTTTTGCCCACATACCGATATTTTTAACAACGATTCATACATCGCATATCTACAGATTTCTTTTGTTCGGTGGTGCATAATGTCATTTTTGAGGAATATTTTTTTCCATTAACACCAACAATGGAGTTTTGAATGAGAATTTGCCAAAAATTTGGAAGTGCTTTAAATTACCTCGAAAAACTGACATGACATTTTTGACATTTGATTTGTATGTAAAATGTTATATATAGAGATTTCTTTTGTTTGGTGACATATAGTGAAATTTCCTGTAGAATCTTTTACCTCTTGACACCTACTTCTTAAAATGAGGTTTTGGTCGGGACTTCGGCACTAATTTGAAAATGTTCGAAATAGTCCCCAAAAATACGTCTTCTCGACATAAAACAATTTTTAAAGGATCTTTTTAATATAAAACCTTATATCTAGAGATTCCTCTTGTTCGGTGACCCATAGTAAAATTTGATGTAGAAAATATTTTCCTTAAACACCAGCCCCCAAAAATGGAGTTTTGGTTGAGAATTTGGCACCAATTTGAATATGCTCGAAAAGACTCAAAAAATATGTCTTATCCCTTTGCCAACATTTCATTTCCGTGATTTCAAAATTAAATCTTTTATCAAGAGATTTCCCTTGTTCCGAGGCTGATAGTGAAATTTCCTAAGGAATATTTTTTCCATTAACACCAGTCTCCAAAAATGGAGTTTTGGTTGAGAATTCGGCAACAATTTGAATATACTCGAAATGGCTCCAAAAAATGTCATGAATTGTTTCTTCGGTGATTTCAGAATTAAATCCTTTATCTAGAGATTTCGTTTGTTCGGTGACCCATAATGAAATTTCCTAAGGAATATTGTTTCCATTAACACCAGTCTCCAAAAATGGCATTTTGGTTGAGAAATTTTACCATTTGAAAATATTCAAAATGGCTCACAAAAATTTTGTCTTCTTCACATACTGAATTTGTTTAACATAATTTTAACATAAAATCTTATATCTACAGTTTTCTCTTATTCCGCGGCCCATAGCCTCCTAAAATGGTGCTTTGATTACGAATTTGGCATAATTTGCTGGAAACAGCTTCCAAAAATATGTCTTGACGGCATACCAATATTATTACGGTGATTTCAGAATTAAATCCTATATCCAGAGATTTCTTTTGTTCCGTGACTCGTAGTGAAATTTCCTAAGGAATATTTTTTCCATTAACACTAGCCCCAAAAAATGTAGTTTTGGTTGAGAAATTGGCACCGATTTGAAAATCTTCAAAAAGGCTCACAAAAAATATGTCTTGATATGACTCTTCGGTGATTTCAGATTTAATTTCTATATCTAGAGATTTCGTTTGTTCGGCGACCTATAGTTAAATTTCCTTTAGCATCTTTTTTTTTATTAACACCAACCCCATAAAATGAAGTTTTGGTTGAGAAATTGACACCGATATAAAAATCTTCAAAATGGCTCACAAAAAATTTGTCTTGATATGTCTCTTAGGTGATTTGAGAATAAAATCCTATATCTAGAGATTTCAATTGCAATTGGTTAACCATTATTACATCCGGCAAACAAATTCTATAACAACTTTTAATATTTCAAATAATTATTGGCGTTTTTTATTTCAAAACCAACCACTGTCCACCTCACCACTATGTACTTAAATTCAAAAAAAACAAACAGTGCACAAGAACAATTTACTAAATAGCCCGGCGTTTTCAATATTTCTTTCTAACTTATAGTACGTAACAACAACAACAACAACATGTGCTACACATACGCTGTAGTCCAAGTATACAAACGAAATAAATAAAAAAAACAAAAAGAAATTAAGATATTTTGGCCCAACTTCAAAACATACAAATCGTTTGTGTATTGCTCTGTTAATTGACCACAATACGATGGGGCCGTCGCACGTTGGAGGTACAACACACATAATGCCAAATTTAAATTAGTTTCCCAAGAATCACACAGCCAGCTAAAAGATTATTACATAGCCCTCCAACATTCGAGATTTGAGAAATTGAAAAAAAAAATTGAAAAATAATGCAAAATTTTAGTGAAAAAGTCATATTCACCGCGGACAATAATGCACAATTTGGCAGGTAGTAGCAACAACAACAACAAAATACGAATTAGTGATGAATTAGCCTCAAGTAAACATTTGTTGAATATCTTTTTAATACAAAAATACGTTTTTTTTTTTCTTTCAAAAATTGCAATTAAATCGACAAAACATAAACGACTGTCTGTGTAGACACTTGAAAGCAGCCATTGATGTTGAGGCCGGTGATGTGTTGATCGAGGAATCACCACTCTTGGTGACAACCCATTGGGAATGTGAACAAATGAAATGTGCCAAATGTTGTGAGGATTCGTTTGTAATTTGCAAGTAAGTGTTGAGATGTGTGAGTGTCTGTGTGTGTGCGTTTTATTTAATAGTTTTAAATTACAGTTTCAAAGGTACTAATATTTTGAAAACGAAAAGTTATTTTATAAACTGAAAACCTAATCGAATTAGCCGAAATAATTTGCCAATATCGTTGCGGCATAAATGGGTGATGGATGTAAGATTATTAAAATTCAAAAATATATTGAAAACAGTGATTTGAACTGCCTCAATAAGCCATTAATTGATGGAAATACAATCGTGATGAGCCCAAAAAAATAAATAAACAAAAAACGTTTTTATGAATAGAAAATAATTGTAGATTTTTAAATTTTACAAATTTTTAAAGCTGGTGGCCAATAGTGGAACTTCCTGTAGATTACTTTTCTCATTGACATCAAATTCCAAAAATAATGGATTGTGTCTGAAATTGCCATGAACTCAAAAATGCTCGAAAATTTTCCCCAAATTACACAGATTGTATTTATTAAATCAAATTGTTTGCCATATTTTTTAAAGTTTAGCTTTATTCCTACTCGTTTCTTTTGTTTGGTGACCCATAGTGAAATTTCCTGCAGAATCTTTTTTCCATTGACAGCAATCTGTTTAAATTGAGTTTTGAGTGAGATAATACTAAGAACCCCAAATGTTTCTGAGAAAATATTTTTATCTATATTACCAAATTGCTTGGGCGATTTTGAAGTCAAGTATCATAACTGACGACTTCTTTTGTTTGGGGTACCCATAGTGAAATTTCCTGCAGAACCTTTTTTCCTTTGGCAACTTTTTTGGAATTTTGATTGAGAAATTGACATATTTTAAAAATCCTCGAAATAGCACTATAAAAATTTTTTGTACACATACCAGTAATTTTAACAACAAATTATACATCAAATCGCATATCTACAGATTTCTCTTGTTTGGTAACCCAAACTGAAATTTCCTATAGAATATTTTTCCGTTAACACCAGCCTCCAAAAATGGAGTTTTGAATGAGAATTTGGCAAAAATTTGGAAATTTTAAAACCATCATTTTCACCTATGATTAATATGTAAAATATTATATCTAGAGATTTCATTTGTTGGTGACATATAGTGAAATTTCCTGTAGAATCTTTTCCTCTTGACACCTACTTCCTAAAATGAGGTATTGGTTTTTAAAAATTTTCGAAATAATCCCCAAAAATACGTCTTCTCGAAACACTAGCATTTTAAAGGATAATTTTAATATAAAATGTTATATCTAGAGATTCCTCTTGTTCGGTGACCCATAGTGAAATTTCTCGTAGAAAATATTTTTCTCGAACGCCAGCCTCCTAAAATGGCGTTTTGTTTGGGAATTTGGCACTAATTTGAATATGACTCCAAAAAATATGCTTTGACGGCATACCAATATTTTTTCGCTGATTTCAATGTTTAGTCCTTTATCTAGAGATTTCTCTTCTTCCGTGACTCATAGTGAAATTTCCTACGGAATATTTTTTCCATTAACACCTGACCCCAAAAAATGGAGTTTTGGTTGAGAAATTGGCACCGATTTAAAAATCTTCAAAATCGCTCACAAAAAATGTGCCATGTCCACATATTGCATTTAATTAGGATAATTTCATAATAATTATATAATTTATCTTATATCTACAGATTTCTCTTTTTCCGGGACCCATAGTGAAATTTTCTATAGAATATTTTTTCCTTTAACGACAGTCTCCTAAAATGGTGTTTTGATTACGAATTTGGCATCAATTTGAAAATGATCGAAACAGCCCCCAAAAAATATACCAATATTTTTACGCTGATTTCATTATTAAATCCTTTATCCAGAGATTTCGTTTGTTCGGTGACCCATAATGAAATTTCATAAGGAATATTATTTCCATTAACATCAGCCCCCACAAATTAAGTTTTGGTTGAGAAATCGACACCGATTTGAAAATTTTCAAAATGGCTCACAAAAATGTTGTCTTGTCCACATATCGAATTTCTTTAGGATCATTTAAATATAAAATCTTATAGCTACAGATTTCTCTTTTTCCGGGACCCATAGTGAAATTTTCTATAGAATATTTTTTCCTTTAATGACAGTCTCCTAAAATTATGTTTTGATTACGAATTCGGCATCAATTTGAAAATGATCGAAACAGGCGCCAAAAATATGTCTTGTCCTCATACGAACATTTTTTCGGTGATTTAAATATGAAAACCTTTTACCTAGAGATTTTATTTGTTCAGTGATCTTTACTAAAATGTCCTCTGGAATCTTTTTTCCATTGACACCATTCCCCTAAAATGAAGATTTGATTGTGAATTTGATTGTAATTTGAAAATATATGATATTACCTTTAGATTCATTACCCACACTATTTGCTGCGTTTGTGTTAGTCTGTTGAGTCGATTTTGACGTTATTCTTGATATCTAGGGACTTACTTTGTGAGGTGACCCATATTTTAATTTGATGTAGAATAATCCTTCCTTTAACACCATCTCCCAAAAATCAAGATTTTCGTGTGAAAGCGACATCCGATGTTGAATTTACGAAATAATTTATGACAATCACTTGTCTCACTCCGTAAGGAGTTTTGGAAGAAAACCATTGAATCCAATAATAATAGTGACCTCCAGGAAGATGTTCCATGGATCCTTTTACCATCCTTCAAAATAAAGTTTTGTTAGAGAAAATTGCCATTAACCAATAATATTTAAATTTATACCTTACATATCCTTTCATTTAATTTTTTTTAATATCTTTCCAGAAAATGCAACTTCTTTCCGCTGTGCATGGACTGCACGGAACATGATCCGTTTGAATGTGAGTTCTTTTGTAATGCCACCAAAGCGATTTCCAAAAATCTGCTCATCAACAATTATGCCCTGAATTCGATTATAAAACTCCTGATGGTCATTGAAAATCCCAAATCGTTGGATTCTTGTACAAATCTAACGCCAAATAATTTCAAATTGAATGAATATCGTGATACGGAAATGTGGATGGATCATGCCACCAATATTGTCCAACCCCTGCTACATTCGGGTCTAATGGATTGCCTCAGGAATTTACAGAAGGCCAAAGGCGATATGCGTGATGCAGATTTTTTACACAAACTCTGTATATTGATTGATGCCAATGCTTTTGAGGTTTCCAGTAAGGTGACGGGAGATTCGTTAAAGGGCTTGTATGTGCATGCCTCGAAAATGCCGCATCACTGTGTACCGAATACGGCCACCGCTATAGATGATGATTATAATATGAAAATTTATGCTGCGGTACCCATAAAGGCGGGAGAAGTCATCTACAATTCCTATACGAATCCATTGATGGTGGGTGGTTGCGATCTCTGAAAGAGGACAAGAAATTAATGTTTTGATTCATTTTACTTTTAATTATAGGGAACAGTACAAAGACAACATCACTTGCGCCTGACACGGCACATTGAATGCCAATGCTTCCGTTGCAGGGATCCCACCGAACTGGATACCCACATGAGTTCTCTCAAGTGTAAACAATGCCCCGATGGCTATGCCATTTGCTCCCACGGCAAATGGCAGTGTTTGGATTGCCAGGCCATTACCGATCCAGTTTTTGCCCAAAAGCTACTCGTCCAGGCCTCCGAAGATATTGGCAATGCCAATGGCGATGTTATGACCTATGAGGAGTTGTTGCGCAAATATTCCTCCGATTTCCATCCAAATCATTTTCTCTTGATTGACATTAAACAAAATATTGCCACGGTGCTGAGGGCTGTCCTCATCAATTCCATGCGTGAACCCAATAAAGACATATTGCGCCGACGTCTAGAGTTGTGTGAAGAAATACTGCCGGTGGTGCGAGCTGTCATACCGGGCTATTCCAAGTTGTATGCCATAGCTTTGTATGAATATTTATTGTCATTCCTGGAATTGGCCGAATTGGATTTTCGCAGCAAGGAGATACCGAAAGATATGTATATTGTTAGTAGTTGTTGTTGTTGTTTTTATTTGATTTGAGACAACAAAAAAACTTACCGAAACTTCTGAAATCCGTCTTGTTCTAGGAAAAATTACATGTGGCCCGAGAAATTGCCCTGGAATCCAAAGACTTGTTATCCTTTGAGCCGCCGAATTCACCCGAAGGCCATCTGGTGCGACGCATTGCCATACAGCAGGAACAAATTGAAGAGAGTTTGAGTAAATTTGAAAATAAATAGGAAAATATGAAATTAGTTTTAGAAAAAAAGGGGAAATAAATTAAAAAAAAAAATAAAAAAAAACCAATCACAAATTTTTTTTAGAGAAAATATTTTTTTAGAGAAAAAAACTATTCAGTTTTTGGTGCGAAAACCCTATTCAACCCGGGCTGAAAAAAAAGTTTTCTATATGAAACCCCTATCTAGGCGGGCGGGAGAGAAGTTTTCGATGCCAAAACCTATCCAGACGGGCTCAATAGAAATTTTTGCTGCCAAAACCTGTTCAAAACCTTCGTCAGCCGGGCTGAACTAAAAATTTTAATAGGAAAAAATTTAATAGCAATTCCCTCACCAAAAATGGCATCTACATTGACATCCCTAACTCCTCTCACACCTCCAAAAATATGCTCGCAATGTGCATAGTTTGTTTTTTGTGGGAAAACTCATACGCTTTTCATATTTCACTATTTTTATCCGGCATACACTCACTCATTCCAATATTAAACATTGTGACGGAGGGTGGGCCAACGGATCGCCACATTCTGTGAAAGCGAGAGAAAAAAAAAGAAAATAACTTGGAAAATGGGTGAAAATTTCAATAAAAAATGTGCCATAGAGACAAATGAAAAGGATGGAGGAAGGTAATTTTCCCATTGGATTCGAACCTATGAAACAAATATTGAATGGATTTCAATGCAAATTCTTTAAATTCCAAGTAGATATGTCAAGGCCCAAGAAAATATTGCCACAGGTGAATGCATTTTGTTGGAACAGCCTACATTGCTATTGGCATCGGATGGAGAGAGACGTTGTGGGAATTGCTTCAAATTGGCCCAAAGCTATTGCAGGTAATTTGTAAAGTTTTTTTTTCAAATTTTTTTATTAAATAGCCTCCTCGTACTTCCCATAGATCCTGCAAGATCACAAATCTATGCCTGAACTGCAAAGAGCACAACAAATACGACTGCGAGAAACTGGCCGCAATGGAGAATTTGAACTGTGATCTCTTGAAGAGAAACACCGAATGCTATGGCATCATCAAGTGTTTGTTGTTGCAAGAGAATCCCGATACCAAGGCCTATTTTGACTCGATGTTGGAGGCAGATTGTTATTTGGAAGAACGCCGTGGCTCGGACATATGGTCTCATTATCATGTCAATGTTGTGGAGCCATTAATGAAATCGAATATTCTGAAATATCTGAGGCACGGTGAGCGGGTTGATGAGGATTTCCTGCAACGTTTGTGCGCCTTGATTGATGTGAATGGTTTTGAGATCCGGGCACCGGATTATGGTACCATGAAGGGTGTCTATTTGAGGGGGACAATTTTGACCCATGACTGTACGCCCAATACCCAGATTGCCATCGATGATAAATACTGCATGAAAATCTATGCCAGTCGTGCCATAGAAGCGGGAGAAATCGTTACCAACTGTTATACGAATGTTCTGTTGGTGAGTAGAGAGAGGGGAAAGTTTGAATTTAGTCGGTGGGAATACAATTTATGGAAACAATTTTCTATTCAGCCTGACAGAATATAATTTTTATAGAGAAAATTTTAATTATGTCCGACGAAATGCAATTTCTGTATTGACGATTTTAATAGGTCTGTCTGGTTACTGAAAAATTAATTTTCGCGGATATTCGACTTTTGACTCTTCTTTACTGGTTTTTCTTGTAAATGGTCTGGCTGGTTATTTTCCCTGCAAGAATTGTCCAATAATTTTGCTCTCAGAGAGCGAGGTTGTCTTATTCTCTTTTGTAAGCAAATTGTAAAGAGTAAACAGAGAGGATTCATGTAATTCATGTAAAAAGAGAATAAATATGTTTTACTCCCTCAGGAAGAAGTTGCTGAAAAATTCTTGAAGGAAAAGTTACCAGATAGACCTAAAATTGTAATCAGTTTATCCTGTGAAGGTCCCTAAATAATAATCCTCTCTTTCTCCTCCTCCTCCTCCTCTAGGGCACCGATGAGCGCCGCAAAATATTGAAAATTACGAAAAATTTAAAGTGCCACTGCAAACGATGCCTAGATCCAACCGAATTCGAATCTCACATGTCCACCCTGCTGTGCTCCGAATGCAAAACCGGTTATGTGTTGAAAAAAGATCCAAGCGAAACAAAATGGCAATGTCAAAATTGTCAACATCGTCGTGATGCCAAGGATGTTGACCGAATGTTAAACAATCTGCAGGAGGAGATCATAAATGCTACCAATGATATTTATAAACTGGAAATGAGCCTTATGCGTTTCTCAAAGGCCTTGCATCCCCAACACTATTTGATCGTGGACATTAAACAAAATATCGCCTCAGCATTGCGTCAAATTCTCAACGATCCATCACAGTGTCCGGGTCGTAAAGTTTATGAACGTAAAATTGAGTTATGCGAAGATATTATAAAGGTCCTTAATCTCATATTGCCCGGTTGTATATCACGTTTGAAGGCCATCACTCTGTATGAGCTGGTTAGCACCCAGGCGGAATATTATCGTATGCGTTACAAGGAGAATGAATTGACCAAGACTCAATTGATAGTAAGAAGATATATTGGGGGAATAATCCTCTTGATTTTGATTTATTTTCTATTGTTTTCCCCCCGTAGGAATTACTGCATGAAGTCGAGCAAATGTTCCGTGAGGCCATACGCATGCTGTTGTATGAACCCAAAGATACACCCGAGGGCAATCTGTTACAGACAATGTTGCAGGAACTCAAATATTTGCAAACAGATATCAAAATGTTGGACTAAACTAAACAAAATTTTGAAAAAAAAAAAAAACAATTTTTTCAAAAAAAAAAAAAATTAAAAAATAAAACAGATTTATGAAAAAAAAAATAAAACAAATTTTTGAAAAAAATAAAACAAAAATTTAAAAAAAAATATAATAAAATTTTGAAAAAAAAAATAAAACAAAATTTTGAATAAAAAAAGAAAATGTTGAAAAAAATTATAGAAAAATAAAAATATTAAGTTACTTGTGGTATAACAGATTTCAAACAGTCCCATCGTACTTAATCAACGTGAAAAAGGTGGAGGGCAACAAAAAATTTTTCATTTTTTTCATTTTTTTTAAATATAACAGTTTTGTCAACTGTTATACTGCTGTAAAACATTTAAAATTGTGTCATTTGGTTAAGATAAACCTTTATAAACGACAAGGATGAAGAAAATTCACTGTATAACAGTTTGAGAAAACTGTTATACTCGTCTATAATATCCTCAAAAAATGTAGTTTTTTGTAATGAATTATGTAATAGAAAAATATGGACTTTTTGACGTGTATAACAGTTTACACAAACTGTTATACACTTGATTTTTTCACTTTTTGTGGTTTTTAGCTTTATCCAGCTCAAATAACATATTTTGAAATGCGTTATACAGCTGTATACCAGTTGACAAAACTGTTATACTTGCAAAATTGAAAAACTGTCATACTGTATTGAATTTTTGACAGTATAAAATAATTAGGCTATGATAACGGTTGAATAACAATTGAAAAACTGATAAATGACCCTTTTGATAGTATTATTTAACTGTTATACTGTTCTATACTTGTTAAAAATTTGTGAATCTTGTGTTAAATATCATAGAAGACGATATAATTTAGGAAAATGCATAATTTTTCCCAGTATAATAGTTTTTGCAAACTGTTATACTGCTGTATACTGTTGTATAACTGTGTAAAAAATTGTGATTTTTGTCTTAAATATCATAGAAGACGGTATAATTAAGAACAATTTATGATTTTTTTCTAGTATAACAGTTTTTGCAAACTGTTATACTGGTGTATAACAGTTTAAAATTACGAAATTTGCATTCAATGAAATAAGAAAGGGCGTATTTTCAAAAATTCAACATATTTCAAGGTATAACAGTTTGTAAAAACTGTTATAAAATGTCTGAAATAAGAAAACTTGTCATAAAATGTCCCACACACACACTGCACAACATTTGTGCATTTTGTATTAAATGTTATAAGGCAATATTATTTAGAAAAACTCATCATTTTTGCAGTATAACAGTTTTTGTAAACTGTTATACGGCAGTATAACAGTTTTTGTAAACTGTTATACGGCAGTATAACAGTTTAAAAATTACGCAATTTGCATTTAATAACATAGTGAAGGGCGTATTTTCAAAAATTCGTCTGTATAACAGTTTGTAAAAACTGTTATAAAATGTCTGATATAAGAAAACTTGTCATCAAATGCCCCACTGACACTCCACAATATCTGTTGCTTTTTTTTGAAGAACACAAAAACACTGTTCCTCCCATATTCCCTTGAGAGAGAGAGAGAGAGCGGTAATAAATACATTTGCAATTGTTTGGCTATTGTATTGTCAAATCTGTCAGAGAGAGAGTCAGAGATTAATGACATGCTGCAGATGTGTGTTATAGAACCCATGAAAGCGAGCAGTAGAAAGCTTTGTCTAGTCCAAAACACAGGCCGTTGATATATTTGAAACATTCGAATAGACAATTCATTTAGCAACTGTCAACGGGAGATAATGGCAAACGGGGGAAATTGCGAGAAATAAATATTATTTTGCAAGGCCCAAACAAAAATGGCAGATGAATTTGGCAAAAATTGCACAATTTGTGAAAATGAGACTTTGGGAAGGTAGGTCATCGTCATGGAATTGCGGAACTTGTTTTAAAACGATTCCCAATTATTTTCCTTACAGATATGTAAAGGCCACAGAAGTAATTCCTGCGGGCGAGACAATTCTGCTGGAAAGTCCCATTCTCATACTGGCCTGCAAAGGCGACAAAAGATGTTGTAATTGTTATCGCTTTGCCCAACAGTACTGCAGGTAGGTAGGACGAGCGGGAACACCAAGGTTACTATTTTTAGATTGAAATCCTAAAAATACCTACAACCCTGCAATTATTTCGTTTCACAGAAAGTGCAGCATTGCTCCCTTGTGCCTAGACTGTGCCGAACACAATGACGAATTCGATTGCAATGTCTTGGCTGCTGCTGGCGCTGTTTCATTGCCAGATGTCCGTGTGGATATTTTAAAGAAACATTTCGATACCTATGGCCTGTTGCAATGCCTGCTGTTGCATGAAAATCCCCAGACCAGGAAAACTTTTGGCAAAATGCTCCAAATGGAGGCGCATTTGGAGAAGAGACGTAATACCAAGATTTGGCAGGAACATGACAGGGATATTGTCCAACCGTTGTTGCAATCGAATATTTGGAGGGGTTTTGAAATGGCGCCCAATATCAATGGGGATTTTTTGCAAAAAATCTTGGCCATTTGGGATGTAAATTCCCATGAAATTCGGGCACCCGATGCTGAGATTATGCGTGGTCTTTATCCCCAGGTGTCTTTGTTGGCACACAACTGTTGTCCGAATGCCAATCAGGCCATCGATGACCAGTATCGCATGAAAGTCTATGCCAATCGTGAAATTGGAAGGGGGGAAGTTGTTACAAATTCCTATACAAATCTGTTGTTGGTGAGTTTTGAAAACCCTTGGCAATTTGTTGATCCTTTTTTTGATTTTGTATCACTTCCCCAGGGGACCGATGAGCGGCGCCAAATTTTACGTGAAGGCAAATACTTCCATTGCACTTGTGCCCGATGTGAAGATCCCACCGAATTGGGCTCCCACATGAGTAGTTTCATTTGCTCTGCCTGTGCTGGCCACAAACAAGAGAGCTATATTGTCAAGGATGGCGACTCGCAGACATGGAAATGCCAGAAATGTGAACACACTCTACGACCGGAACAAGTTGCCAAAATTTTGGAAAAATCCAAAGAAGAAATGTTCCATGCTCATGGTGACTATCGTCGTTTGGAGTATTTGCTCGCCAAGCTATGTACCATTTTGCATAAAAACCATTATTTGGTGGTCGATTTGAAGCAGGAAATGGCCAATATTCTACGCAATGCCATACTCAACAGCCGAAGACCCAATCGTCAGTTGTTCGAAAGGAAAATACGTTTATGTCAGGATTTGGTTTTGCTTTTGCAAACCATACAACCCGGCATGACACGGCTAAAAGGTATTGCCCTCTACGAAATGGCAACGTCGCATGTGAAGTTACAACGTCTGAAATTTGAGGAAAATGAAATGGAGGAGGACGATCTGAAAAAACGTTTGAAAGAATGTCTGGCAATGTACAGAGAGTCTATACGAATGCTGTCGCATGAACCCCCGAAAACTCCAGAGGGTCAATTGCTGAAAAATGTTGCAAAGGAATTCGATGTCCTGCAGAAGGAAGTTGAAAATGGCGCACAATCTGAGGGGGATAAATAAAAGTGGAGCAAATTTTTTTGAATTTAATTTTTTTAATAAAAAAGTGTCTAAAAAAAGTTAAAAAACCCGCCGTGAAATAAATTCCTCTATTTCAGAATCTGCAAAAATCTCTGCCGCTTCTTCATTGCACTGTTCCGCATTCTTTGAATAGAAGAGGAAGGAGAAATCAAAGAGTTTTGCGGAATAATCGCCATGACCTTTTTGAAGAGATGTTTTGGCAATCCTGCTTCTCTTACCCTCTACCGCTTCTTTATCGCATTGTTCCGCATTCTTCGAATGAATTTTTGAAAATCTGATATGATACTCCCACTCCTCTCAACCTCTGCCGCTTCTTCATGACATTGTTCCGCATTCTTCGAATCGATCAAATTTTGTGAAAGAATCGAAACGGCCTCCTCTGTGGCCTCTTTATGACATTATTCCGGATTTTTCGAATCATGGGGAAAACAAACCCTTCGAATTTCTTTAAGAGATGCATTTCCAACCCTGCTCCTGTTAACCTCTGCCACTTCTTCATGATATTGTTCTGCACTCTTTAAATCAAAGACATGGCCTTCTTGAAGAGATGTCTTGGCAATTCTGCTCTTATCCTCTTTCGCTTCTTCATTGCATTATTCCGCATTCATTGAATCGAAGGGGAAAGACCAATTAAATTTTGCGGAATAATTGTCATAACCTTCTTGAAGAGATGTCTTGGCAATCCTGCTCCTCTTATCCTCTGTGACCTCTTCGTGGTATTGTTCCGCATTTTTCGAATCATAGGGAAAATACCCCCTTCGAATATCTTGAAGAGATGCTTTACAAACCCTGCTCCTGTTAACCTCTGCCACTTCCTAATGATATCGTTCTGCATTCTTCAAATCAAAGGGGGACAACCAATCAAATTTTACGGAGTAATAGACATGGCCTTCTTGAAGAGATGTCTTGACAATTCTGCTCCTCTTATCCTCTGTCGCTTCTTCATGACATTGTTCCGCATTCAGACCAATCAAAATTTTCGGAATAATTGGCTACGCCTTCTTGAAGAGATATCTGGACCATCCTGGCCCCCTTATCCTCTGTCGCTTCTTCATGACATTGTTCCGCATTTTTCAAATCGACCAATCAAAATTTTCGGAATCATCGACTTGGCCTTCTTGAAGAGGTATCTGGACCATTCTGGTCCTCTTATCCTCTGTCGCTTCTTCATGACATTGTTCCGCATTCTTTGAATCAAAAGAGGAAGACCAATCAAATGTTGTGGAATAATTGACATGACCTTCTTGAAGAGATTTCTTGACAATCCTGCTTCTCTTATCCTCTACCGCTTCTTCATCGTTTTGTTTCGCATTCTTTGAATCGAAGAGAAAATACAAAGCAAATGTCGTGGAATAATCGATACGACCTTCTTGAAGATATGTCTTTCCAACCCTGCTCCTGTTATCTTCTGCCACTTCATTGTTCCGCATTCTTTAAATCGAAGAGGAAAGACAAATCAATTTTTTTTTTGGAATAATCGAAACGGCCTTCTTGAAGAGATTTCTGGACCAACCTGGTCCTCTTATCTTCTGCCGCTTCTTTATCGTTTTGTTTCGCATTCTTCGAATCGAAAGGGAATGACCAATTAAATTTTGCGGAATTATCATCATGGCCTTCTTGAAATACGTAGCTGCTACCATCCCCATTCTTTCTTCATAAGGTGAGAATACATAAAATGCTTTTTTGAATCTCTTAAGTCATCGGCTGGCTTCTTCGTAGAGGAAGGAGTTTTAGGTTGACTTAGTTCGATTTGACCCTTCGCTCCTTTGTTCTTTTCCGAAGAAGCCAGCCCATGACAAAAAAGCGAATGGAATGTGTCTGGAGTATTTTGGAAAGCAAGGTTGGCTCTAAAAAAATACCAAAGCAGGCGCTTCGCCGGGAAAGGGCCAAAATACCGCAGAGCAACATTCGGACAGCGTGTGACGGTTTCATTTCCCATTTGAAGGCCATAAAACGTGCCAAAGGTGACCAATTCGAAAAAATCTAGACTTATTCTAAAACTTGATGTTATTTCCGACATTTTTTTGCTTTAATTCAATAACATTTAGAAAAAAAAAATGTAAAAATTATGTCGTTTGTTGCAGTTTTTTAGCTCACCCTGTACATTAAAATTATTTATTAAAATATATCATGTTTTATTTGCATTATCACTTAAAATCATTTCAAATTCCCCCAACAACTGCTGGGCCACAGCAAAACGATCTGCACAACTCTCCCGAGGACAGTCAACGCAACGTTGCAATGTTCGCCATAATTCCGGATACTTTTGCACCAGACTCTCTGTGGGCATGGGATATAGAAAGCCATTTGTTTTATCCCTATAGAGATCTTCACTTAAAAACTGGCAGGCGGAGTAAATATTCAAATCACTTTTGTTGTGGGCAGCAATGTCCTCCGGTGAGTAGGCAAAGCAACCAGGACATTCTATATATTCATGGCGATGGGTGGTGGATTTGTATTTTGCCCCTCTCACATCGACCACAAACAATGTATCCAAATCCACAAACGACAGGCGATCTTGGTCAACGCTGTAGACCACATTATCGGCTGTGAGATCGGTTATATAGAAACGATATGGGGCAATGCCATGGGAGAACTTCAAACAGGCTTCCAACAGATGTTTGGCGATTTTTAATCTCAACAAAAATGGTTGATTTCGGAAATGATACAAATCTTGGCCCGCATATTCCTGATAAATTGTAAAACCACAAATGCCATGAGTTTGGGGCACCGGAAACTGCCAAGAAAATAGCCAGGGCATTAACAAAGGTTGGACATTGAGTAGCAAATACAGTCATATGGCCAGGGGGCTTAAATTCCTATGATACTCCATCAAAAGTTTCATAAAATCCTCAATGTTTGCCAATGGCCAGAACTGCATGCCATCCAGGCGTTCCGCGTCCAAGAACAGCTGTTTCAATTCCCCCACCTGCAATTTCCACTCCAAATGCTCCTTTGAATTGGCAAAATATTTTGCCAGGATCTGGTGGGTATTAGTTTCTCCTTCTTGTCCTTTTAGGCCATACAATTGATTGTTTCGTTTACAGCTACGTTGAGGCAGTAATGCGAAGAGATGTTCCAAAATCGGTTTGTGATTCGTATTTGCGATCAGGTTTTCCATTAAATGTCCACATGCCACCTTTTGCGATTCGAAGCATTGGGGACAAAACCGTAGATCTTCTTGAAATTTTGTTAAATTCAATTGTCCTCTTTGTTGCAGCTTGTGGTCGAGGGTGTTAAGAGCCACCGTCAGCAGGATTAGCAGACGTAAATGGGAAAACACACGCATTGTCCGGAATTTGGATGAGACTAGGGTAAAGAAAAGAGCATTTTAAAAAAGGAAACAAATTGGGATTATTAAATAAAAGGTGAAGTCATGGGCTTGCTACTTTGTAAAGAAACAAAGCAGTTTTAGGGTGGGAATACATAAAGCGCATATTTGGCTGGCTTAAGTCATCGGCTGGCTTCATCGGGAAAGAACAAAGGAGCGTAAGGCTAAGGGTGGAAATACATAAAGCGCATATTTGGCTGGCTTCCGTCATCGGCTGGCTTCTCCGTTGATGAACAAGAGTTTTAGGTTGACTTAGTTCGATTTTGGCCCTAGACTCCTTTGTTCATTTCCAAAGAAGACAGCCAGATAAGCGATTTATGTATTCCCACCTTAAAATCGAACTAAGTCGACCTAAAGGTGGGAATGAACAAAGGAGCCTAGGGCCAAAATCGAACTAAGTCAACCTAAAACTCCTTTGTTCATCTACGAAGAATCAGCCGATGACGGAAGCCAGCCAAATATACGTCTTATGAATTCCACGCTTAGCCTTACGTTCTTTTGTTCTTTTTCGAAGAAGCCAACCGATGACTTAAGCCAGCCAAAAAAGCGTTTTATGTATTCTCATCTTTAGTTTTGTTTGGTTATAATCATGGTAGAATAAGGAAGGTAACATTGTGGCATCATACGTTTTAATTTTTTTTTATCCCCTCAGCCATATGGCTGGTTAGGGTATACAGGGTGAGTTAAAAAACTGCAACAAAGTCAAACGCTATAATTTTTACATTTTTTCTAATTTTATTGATTGAAAGCAAAAATATCGGAAATAACTTCAAATTTTAGAATAAGTCTAGATTTGTTCGAATTGGTCACAGTTGGCACGAAGTATGGGCTTAAAACGGCCAATGAAACCGTCACCAGCTCCCCGAATGTTGCTCTGCGTTATTTTGGCTCATTCCCGAAGAAGCGCTTGCTTGAGATGATCGACACTTTGGTATTTTTTAGTACCAACCTTGCTTTTCAAAATACTCCAGACACAATAGTCCAAAGTATTGGCATCCGGAGATTATCGTGGCCACTGTGGGCTGGAAATGAAGCGAGGAACTTCATTTTGTAACCATTCTTGGGAGGCGTGTGCGGAGTCCTGTTGGAATGTCCAATGTCTGCGCCCAAAATGTTTGCATGCCCAGGGCTTTACTGCACCCTGCAGAATATTTTGGCGATAATATTCGGCATTTATTCCGATGCCACGGTCGATAAATACGAGCGAAGAGCGACCATCGGCTGTTATGGCCGGCCCACATCATCACCATGGCCGGCGCTTGAGTTCTGGTGGCAAACCGAAGGTGCACATTTTAAGCTGACCTGACCTCTTTGACATGTAAACACGATCATTTTGTTTGTTTACAAACTGCTGGACAACGAATGTTTTCTCTTCGTCGGAGAAAACCACATTCGGCAGTTCACCAAGCGAAGTAACTCTTTAGCTCTTTTGAGTCTATTTTCTTTTTGTTGCGGTGTAAGTTCTTGCACTTTTTGGAATTTTAATGGCTTTACCCCGAGCTCCTTTTTCAATATTTGCGGAATGAAATATAGCGATATGTTCAGCTCACGAGCCATTTTTCAGCCACTGCAACGCGGGTTTCGATCAAGTCGCTTCTTTACATTTCGAACCATTTCTACTGATGTTGCTGTTTTCTTCCTCCACATTCTTGACGTCGGCGGGCTACCAGTATCACGTTAACGATGAGCGATGGTACTAGACACAAAAAGGCTTATTCACATTTAAATGCTGGAGTGCTCTAACGATAGCCACTTAAAGAATAATACGAATAACTTTTTTTTCTGGAAAATGCTCACCAAAATGCTTTTGTTCGCTTGTAAACAATATAGTGAGCTGCCACTGGAAAAATTTTAACAGCTGTCGGACGAGTTGCTTAGAAATGACAGCAGTCTGAAGTTAGTTGCAGTTTTTTCATCTCACTCTGTATTTCCATAAAAGCAAGATCTGTTATAAAGATGGTAGAGATCGGACCATTTCTTCTGGTAACTCCCCCACAAAGGATCAAAGTTCTTAATAACCAAAACGACCATAAAATCCGAAAAAAGCATCCGATTCTCTTCATATTTCATACATCTCACTATTTTCATTAACACAAAATCTGTTGTGAAAATAGGATATATCGGTCCACTCAATCTGGAACCTTCCCCACCAATGGGTCAAAATTTTGAATATCCATAAAGCTCATAAAAAGCGAAATCAACATCCAATTCCATTCCAGACTTGGCATATCTCAATATTTCTATCAATACAAGATCCAAAGTATTTTTATTTTTCGAATAATTTATTATGGAATTTTCCTACATTTGACCGCCATACCACCACGTTTTAGTACCACCTCCTGCTACAGTTTCAGTCTGCATGCGTTTTTTGTCTTGATTCTAAAAATAACAAACAGTTCTTTATTTCTGCGCACGAATGTGTGGCACATGTTGCAGAAGACTTTTGCTGCAACGAAGAAGAGCAGTTATTAATGGTGGTAGAACATGTTCCGGGCAGCAAAAAAAAAACAAGCAAGCAAACATTTCGATAGAGGCAGGTACCGACGAAACAGGTTCAAGGTTTTATTTTTGCATGGCCAAGCAAAAGAATAACAAAAAAAATAAATAAAAAGAACTGCCACCACCAAAGACATGATCGTCCAAGGCGTACAAGAAGAAGAAGAAGATGGTTTGCAAGGAATATGTGGCCATTAAGTTAATAGGACTGTTAAGATTTCATAGTAAACTGTTTGGTTTCGTAGGATAAAGCAAGAATGGAAGATGGATGAAGGCCATTTCAGGAAATGCCATTGGCTTTTCGTTGTTGTTCTTGTTGTTGGTGGTGGTAGTGCAGTTAATAAAATGTTTGGCAGATAGCCAAGTCTCATGGTTGATTAATCTTAGTTTTATGAAAAAAAAGATTTAAAAAATTAAATTTAAAAGAGTAGGGAGCAGTAGATCGGCGCCCAAATTTCTTATTTTCAAGAAATAAACATTTGCAAGCTTAAAAATAAATTGGGAAACGGCTGTTTTCTTTTCGGATTCTGTAATAATTCTCTCAGTACAAGTTGCTGAAATTTTAACTGGGAAAGTTTCATAGATAGCTATTTTCATGTGCTCTCGTTTGGAGAAGTTCAAACTCCAAACGAGAGCACATGAAAATAGCTATCTATGAAACTTTCCCAGTGAAAATTTCAGCAACTTGTACTGAGAGAATTATTACAGAATCCGAAAAGAAAACAGCCGTTTCCCTATTTATTTTTAAGCTTGCAAATGTTTATTTCTTGAAAATAAGAAAATTTTATTTTATTTAATGTTTGTTTGCTCACAGTGGTCACAAAACAGCTGATCAAACTAAAGGTGAGAGAACATAAAGAGCATTTTTTACTGACTTGTGTCATCGGCTGGTGTAGGGTGAGCAAGTACAAATTATGGGCCGAAATTGCATGCGTATGCGTAACGTAAATCGTATTCATAAATCCAGCGAATATTATTATTGATCGAAACCCGCGTCGCAGTTGCCGAAAAATGGCTCGTGAGCTGAACATATTGCAATATTTCGGAAATATTGAAAAATGAGCTGGGGGTAAAGCTCGGGAAATTCCATAAAGTGCAAGAACTTACAACGCAACTGAAAGAAAATAGACTCAAAAGAGCTAAAGAGTTGTTACGCTTTTCTCCGATGAGAAAACCTTCGTTGTCCAGCAGTTTGTAAACAAACAAAATGATCGTGTTCACTTGCCAAAGAGGTCAGGTCAGCTGAAAATGTGCACCTTCGGTTGGCCACCAGAACTCAAGCGACGGCCATGGTGATGGTGTGGGTTGCCATAACAGCCGATGGTCGCTCTCCGCTCGTAGTAATCGATCGTGGCATCAGAATAATGCCGAATATTATAGCGAAAATATTCTGAAGGGTGTATTAAAGCCTTGGGCATGCAAATATTTTGGCCGCAGACCTTGGACATTCCAACAGGACTCAGCATAATCGCACTCAGAACGCGCCACCCCAGAATGCTTACAAAATGAGGTTCCTCGCTTCATTTCCAGCGCACAATGGCCACCAAAATCTCCGGATGCATGCTTGGCACTAAAAAATATCAAAGTGTCAATCACCTCAAGCAAGCGCTTCGCCGGGAATGAGCCGAAATACCGCAGAGCAACATTCGGGCAGCGTGTGAGCGTGTTTCATTGACCATTTGAAGGTCATATTTCGTGCCAAAGGTGACCAATTCGAACAAATCGACACTTATTCTAAAATTTGATGCTATTTCCGACATTTGCTGCTTTCATTTAATAAAATTAAAAAAAAAATGTAAAAATCATGGCGTTTGACTTTGTCGCATTTTTCATCTCACCCTGTAGATTATTTCTGTCCTTGATATTGATATTGGGTAAAAAAAAGCATGGAAATGGCAAACTCTTTGATTGGAAAATAAATGTAAATGTCTTGCCAGTTTTACGCCCAAATCTAAGGAAGATCTTCAAAATATAAATTTGACAATGAAGGAACACCAAATTAAAAACAATTGTAAACGTTTGATAGCATGATGTTACTCTAAAAATGGTACCATTGTATTGCATTTCCCATCTCTGCTCTCTTCAGAGAGTGAAATGTATTGATCCCCAATGGAATAACATTTGTTTGGCAAGGTGGGAGACAAAAAAAAATATCTTAGCCATTGAGAGAAATGCCTAAGAACATTGGAGAGACAAGAGCGTGACAGCCAAAATACTAAACAGAACAAATTTTGCCAAGACACAAAAGAATGAGGCATTCATTCCATGCCATCAGTTGTGGAGCGAGAGAGTAGTCGTCGACAACACATGGTGGTGCGCTGCGCTGTGCGAAATAAATATTTACCTGTCATTTACAAAACGCTACTCGCCGTGGTCGTCGTCAGAATCTATAAAATCGAAAGACGTAAAAAAGCCAATTAGAACAAAAACAAGTTGATATTCTCATTTAGTTATCAAAGATCAGCTGGCACAAAACGAACGATACCCAAAACAAATAATAAAACAAAAAATACAAATTCTATATGTTGGTCAAGTTCAATAAACAACACAACACCGCAACTCGAAAAAGGCCAGACTTCCATGATTTGAAATTTTGAAAAGCAAACAAAAAAAATATTTAAGGATTTATAATGAATGGATATAGATATTGTCACCAAACGTTTTAAGTAATAAAACCACACACAAAAAAAACATTTGTTGTGCGCAATTGAAATTTTTAACAAATCATTAACAAAAAAAGCCAAGGCAAACAAACTCTCTAAGCTGAGAGGATTGACAAATTTTGAAAGGAAAACAAAACAAAAAAAACACACAATAAAATTCAAAAACGTCCATATTGCAGCAAAAACGTTTACATAAGAACAAAAATCTAGAAACATTTTGATGGTAAGTGAATAAATATTGAAAATATAATTTTGGATTACAAAAAAAAAATAAATACATAAAAAATGTTGAAAAATCTTAAATATTTTTACCACCGAGACTTATGTTTAGAAATTATTTTCAAAGTTATTAATGGAACAAGTTTAGTAAAAACTCTCGGATTTTTTAAAGGTATTTGTATCCTGGTTCCGGCAACTAAAAATACCTATCGAACAAGTCACAAAATAAAAAAAATAAATAAAAAATGTTGGAAAAATAATAAATATTTGTACCACCGGGATTTATTAAAAAAAAAAAAAATATTTTCAGAATTATTGGAACCACTCTAATTTAGTAAAAACTCTCGGATTTTTTAAACGTATTTGTATCCTGGTTCCGGCTACTAAAAATACCTATCCAAAAAGTCACAAAATAATAAATAAATAAAAATTGTTAAAAAATCATAAATATTTGTACCACAGGGATTTATTTTTAAAAAATATTTTCAAAATTATTAGTGGAACAACTCTAGTTTAGTAAAAACTCTCTCTTTTTAATTTTCTTTGGTAATTTTTAAAGGTAGTTGTACCATTTGGAAACATATACAGGGTGAGATATAAAACAACTGCAACAAAGCCAAAAGCCATCATTTTTACATTTTTTTTTTTAATTTTATTGAATTAAAGACAAATATATCGGAAATAGCATCAATTTTTGGAATATGTTTAGATTTGATCACCTTTGGTACGAATTATGGCCTTCAAACAGCCACGCTGCCCAAATGTTGCTCTGCGGTATTTTGTCACATTCCCGGCGAAGCGCTTGCTTCAGGTGATCGACACTTTGATATTTTTAGTGTCAAACTTGCTTTCCACAATTCTCCAGACACAATAGTCCAACGTATCCGGAGATTTTGGTGGCCAACATGCGCTGGAAATAAAGCGAAGAACCTCATTTTGTAACCAATCTTGGGTGGGGCGTGCTGAGTGCGATGGTGCTGAGTCCTATTGGAATGTCCAAGGTCTGCGGCCAAATTTTGTGCGTGCCCAAGGTTTTACTACATCCTCCAGAATATTTTCGCGATAATATTCGGCATTTATTTTGATGCCACGGTCGATTAATACGATCGGAGAGCGACCATCGACTGTTATGGCAGCCCACACCATCACCATGGCCGGCGCTTGAGTTCTGATTTTTTTTTTTCAAAAGTGTGCACTCCTTGAAAAAATGTATTGATAACCCGCTGTTGAAAATATATATTTTTTAAATACTTTATTTGCCTAAATTCAAAATACATGCTACTCTTCACTCTCAAGCAAAAAGCCCTTAAGCACGCCGTTATCGATTTTTCTCAATTGTTAGCAAGTGGCAGTTTGTCAAAATTGATAACAAGTTTAGAAGTACCTGTAAAACAAACAAAAACTCTTGTTAACATAAAAAGATAAGAGTTTTTTTTTTTCAAAAAGGCCAAATAGATCGCAACCATGGTAGAAGAATTGAGGTAGATGCATCAACGTTTGGGAACATTGATAATGACAACAATTTTTAAATGTTTCTACAAAAATAAGAAGTTTTTTAGATGTTTTCCTGTACGACGTAAATCGGTGGTTGTTATGGTTTGGCTGTAGTACCTATTACGAACTTTACGAAATATCAAATTTGAAACAATTTCGGTGAATAATGTCGCTAAAATCATCAAAGTACCGAAAAAAGGGAGGTACCATTATATGGGGGCTATATGAATACGGGAGCCTGCACAAACAGTTTTCTGTCATAGGCTGTAGTATCCGTTACGAGCTTGAAATTCGAAATTTGAAACAATTCCGGTGAATAATGTCGCTCAAATCACCAAAATACCGAAAATAGGGTGGTCCCATTATATGGGGGGTAAGCGAAGCCCTGGACCTGCACAGACGATTTTCTGTCATAGGCTGTAGTACCCATTACGAACTTCAAATACCAAATTTGAAACAATTCCGGTGAATAATGCCGCTAAAATCATCAAAATACCGAATATCGGGAGGTATCGTTATATGGGAGATATACGAAGACGTGGATCTGCACATACAATTTTCTGCCATAGGCTGTATTACCCAATACGAACTTCAAATACCAAATTTGAGTAAAATTTTATCAACCTACTTCATTTCGTTCGGAAACCAGAGTGGTTTCCACTCACGGATAGACGGACGGACATCGCTAAATATATATGTATATGTATATTTCGAGGTGTTACAAACGGAATGACAAACTTAATATACCCTCCATACTTTGGTGGAGGGTATACAAATGATATTTGTTTTATTTAAGAAATTTCATCTTAAAATTCACTTTCACCCAAATTAAATAAAAGTGAAAGTAAAATTATGTTAGTCTTCATGTATATCATTTGAATTTTGAATCATTTTATGTGTGTTTGGAAAAGCTAAATAATTTATTAAATTTCAAATAAAGCCTTACACATAAAACTCAACCTGGTCACCTTAGCACCGGCCAGCTTTTTTTCAATTTCAATGAACACATTTTACTACCTACCTCCAACTACCTGATTGAATCTCTCAAAGGCAAACGACAACAAACCACATCCGAACGTCCCGTCTCACCTTCCGTTGCGATCGTCGTCATGGATGGTTCTGCCAGGTTTCAAATGCAAATAATTCACATGAACTCTGTTTACGTTCTAAACATGATGAAAAGACTTGTTGGGGGGTTTTTGCTTGTTATTTATTGTTGTCTCGACTACAACAATTATATTTAATTTTATTTTGATTTTTTTTCTATTTTCTTTATTATTTCATTATCACATGGGCTGGCTTAGAACACAACAACAATTTATAGCCACAAAAAAGTGGCTTGTCATCAGTGTGTTTGGAGGTGTGTGTGTTTGTTTTTTATTATTTTTAGTTTACTAGCTTCGATTCTGTTCTACCGGCATTTCTCAACTGGTATTTTGAGACTTTTCTATAGAATTATTTTGTAACTTGGGATGAATGGATCTACTGTTGGACATGGTTATAAAGAGCATATATAAGTAACTTAAACTGCCAATTTACAACAAATTATTTTCAAAAATATCACTAAAACTGCCAAAAAAACCTTTTACCTGGCGGTACAGTTATATGGGGGCTATATCCAATACCAAAAATTCTACAGGCCTAAAATGCATCTCAAAAAATGTTTTCAACCTTCATTTCGTTTGAAAGCTAGAATGATTTCCACATACCAAGAGACATGGCTAAATCGACACAGAATTATATGGTGATCACGAATAAATATACTTTGTGAGGTTTAAAAGGTTTAATATCCTCTTAATATACTCTCCATACTTTTATTTGAAGATCATAATTAAATCAGTTCAAACCCTAAAAAAATGCGTTCCAAACCACAGCAAAGCCATAAAAAATGCGTTCCATGCCACAGCAAAGCCATAAAAAAATGCGCCCCACGCCAAAGTCCAAACCACAGGAAATGCGTTCCTTGATACAAATAATACTCAACAGGATAAAAAAAAGTAACAACATTAATCATGAACAAGCCAAGTTCAGTACAACAGGTCCTAAACGTATGAGTGATTTCATATAATTCGTATTACTCATACGCAGAGTTTGTATTCGGACTAGCTCAGTAGAAATGGTTCGAGAAGTAAAGAAGTGACTTGATCGAAACCCGCATCGCAGTGGCCGAAAAAGCACGCGCCACCCAAGAATGGTTACAAAATGAGGTTCCTCGCATCATTTTCAACGCACAATGGCCACCAAAATCTTCGGATACCAATCCGTTGGACTATTGTGTCTGGAGTATTTTGAAAAGCAAGGTTGGCACTAAAAAATAGCCAAAGTGTCGATCACCTCAAGCAAGCACTTCGCCGGGAATGGGCCAAAAAACATTCGTGTGACGGTTTCATTGGCCGTTTGAGGGCCATAATTCGTGCAAAAGGTGACGAATTAGAACAAATCTAAACTTATTCTAAAATTTTATGCTATTTCCGACATTTTTTGCTTTCATTTAATAAAGTTTAACAAAAAATGTCAAAATTATGGCGTTTGACCTTGTTGCAGTTTTTTTTATCTCATTCTGTATAGCTCCTCATTTTCCATATTTCGATTGTTTTGGACCCATTCCACATTCAGAACATTCAAAACAGAAGTCCTCAGACCTTAAAAAATTATTTTTAAAAGTTCACATCTTATTCTTGACAGTTCCGTCACATAACCTCACTTTTTTATAAACTGCACCATACGACCCTCAAGACAGCTTTTACTTGTTTCTTCTTAAAAAAATATATTCCTTAAAAATTATCAGAGTACTCAGAAAAATTATTTTTAAGAGATCTTAACCATAACCTCAAATTTTTTTTATCATTTAATTTAAATACATTTTCTGTTTTGCATTTCAAAACACACAAATCAGTAAAATTATAAATTCCAAAGAAATAAAAAATATTAAGGATGTAACCTGCTCGCTGCTGACAAGAATATTTTAAAACGTTTTCCAATCATTGACATTAGGCCCCATGGTCAATAAGTACTTTGCCATCGGCAGTATTCTAAAGCACATATGTACTATGTACATTCATATATTTGTATATACATGCACACACACACATTGAGCTATTGAATACAATCATCATCTGCATGCTAATATGTTTTGATAAATAGGAACATTTGTTTATTTTATGAGCTACGTTTTTGCTTGAAGACGACGACACGTGAGCCATGGATAACATTAAATCATTTGTATTCAAATTGAATCATCATTCAGAATCTAGACAACATAGAAAACGTGCTCAAACCTGAATCTGAAATTTGAAATATTTACGTTTCTATTCCATGTAAAATGTTCACTGGTTTTGAAACAATTTTAAAATAGCCACCTCTTTGGTAAAAATTTACAAATTTTCAAAACATAATCAAATTTTTATTTTAAAATTTTTCATAATTTTTCAACCAGAAGAACAGTTATAAATCTAATTTTATTGTTTTTATTCAAATTGTTTCCATCTAAGCCATTGGCGACTCGACGACGACGAGCCCTTCTCAGTTGGATAACATATTTAAATATTCAAAATTCATATATTTATGTTAATTTTATTTTCAAAAGTTTACTGTCCAAGACAAATAAAACTAAATTCGAAAAGAAAAACTTTCTCTATAAATATTTCTCTTTTGTTCATCTTTTTCGATTACAGATCATGGCCTCACCAGCTGCCGCCGTGGGTCTTTATACAAAGGCAAATTTTCTCATTGAAAATCTTAACAAATCTCGGGATCTCTTACCGCCACTGGCCTTGCGCTATGAACAACTGTTGGCCAGCGAAAAGTATTACGACTGTGTCTTCCACATTGGCGGCCATGAAATACGCTGCCACAAACTGATACTGGCCACATCCAGTCCTGTGTTTGAGGCCATGTTCTATGGACCGATATGTGAAAAACAAAACATCATCGACATTCTCGACATGAGCAATGACATCTTTAAACTAATGATCATCTATATCTACAAGGGATCGGTGGACTTTCGCAAGCTAACCCTGGAAGAAACCATTGAATTTTATTATGGCGCCGAGAAATATTTGCTAAGTGATCTGAAACGAGAATGCCTGGAAGCCATACAATTGAAGCTGCGCTTCTCCAATATTTTGGCGGCCCTCGAGTTGAGCATATGTTTGGACTTGAGCGGTTTATTGAGCATTTGTTTTAACTTTTTTGTGCAGTGCTGTCTCAAGGAACCCCAGTTTGTGGCCTATTTGAAGAACCACTACTATCATGTGTCCAAGGATTGTATCAAGACCATAATTGCCATGTGCAAAGAACAAATACCAGCCCACAATCTCCTATGGTTTATATACGAATGGTGCCAGCAGGAGTGCCGGGAAATGGGTCTGAAACCAGCCGAATGCTCGGCCATCATAGAAGATCTCAATATAAAATCTGGCCTAGTGAGTGAAGCCAATGGCCCAGCTGTAGTTAAGCCCCAGTATTGTCAGACCTTGGAGAGATGTTATTACAAGGCCTGTCGTCCCTTTACCATTGATCATGGCAATTGCCAGTGGCTGACTTACATCAAAACAAATCGTTTCATTTCTCTGCAAGGTCTGACTCTGCACAGTCGTCTGACACCACACCTGTCACGTTTGCCGGTACCCAGCAGCGATTATTTAGAAAACATGGACATTGAAATCACTGTACCCCAACACGATGAGTCGCCCGTGTGGAGCCACAGCATCAGCAAACAGCTGACAAAATACAATTGTGATGTAAATGTCAAATGGTCCAAGGGCATTGTCCTGGAGCCCGATGTTGAATATCAAATAAAATTGATTTGGCATCCATCACACTGCCAGGCGGCAGAATATCCCTGTAGTCTCTACTCCTCCAAGGTGGAGGGTATACAGTTCAGGGATTTGGATACGCACAGTGGTAGTCTCATTAAAGGCATACATTTCATAAATTTAGTTTAGATTTAAGGCCGTCTCATAAGTTTTGTAAGAAAAGAAAACATAAAAAATAACAAAAAATCAAAAAAAATATATATAAAAAAATACACGTCCGATGGTTTATCCCTTAAGGTGTTTTTCAGGTTATTCCAAAACGCCAAAAAAAGGTTCATTAAACTTTCTCGCAAATGCTTTCGAGATGAGTACGCCGTTTTTTTTTTTCGTTTTATTGTTCTCCACAATTTGATGCCAAAATGATTTTTGAATTATTTGTTGTTGTCGTTTTGAAAACCTGTTCTGTTCTTGGGTATCAGAAAGAAATTAGGTATTCAAAGATGATGATAATGATGTAGGCTAATAGAATACAACCGACATGATTGATGAGCGCAACAAAGGGTAGCGAATTGAATAAAAAAAGGGAATAGAAAGGGAATAGGTATTAAAGAAAAACTCAAGAAATAAAAAAATAAATTTTATCCAATATCCCCCTGAGAGCATTTGAAATTAGTTCTGTTCATGTTCTCCTAGGCGGCCCTTAAATGATTTTTGGTCTGTTCCAAACTTCTAGAATGCCAAAAATGTTGCTTTATTGTAATTTTCGCCTATGTTTCTACCTGCTATTTCCACCATAACATGGTTATTTGAGCCAAATGTTCGAATTCAAAAACCTAGCTATATTCGTTACTACGATAGAAAGAAAATTATTATTTGAATGCATATGTCTACCTATTCTTTTAAACCTGATGCTTTCTTCTAAATTGTTATTAATAGGCCGGGTATTGAGATTTCCCCCTCCAATGTACGTCCAACGCAGTCTTGATAATTAAAAAAAAAAAACAATCCTTGGAACATTTTTTTAATTTTTGGGCGTTTTTACATCAGCCCCGAAAAGACAACGAAGGAGAACAGTTTTTTATTACGGCGTCGGCTTATCAAATGTATACCAAAAGGTGGCGGCGCGCTCTCAACTCCGTCGACGGCGGCAATATTTCGGCGCAGAAGATAAAATAAATGATTAAAACTTTTAGGTGGATCAATGGTAGAAGAATATAGGTAGATGCATCAAATTTTGGGAACACTGACATCATTTTTAAAATATTTTCTTTTTTTTTAATAAAAAGATTTTTATACGATGCCAATCGGAGCATTTTTCGAAAATGATTACAAATTTCAATAAATTTTCATTCAACATTTTCAATTCCGAAATTGGTTGACAGTTCATTGACCCAGCAGCTGTGTCCATGCGTCTGCAGCCATGGGTTGATTCGAGCGTAGTCCCCCCACGTAGTACCCTCGAAGACATGTTTTCTTTTTGGCAGTCTCTTCTCATTGAACTATGATAGCTTGCAGGGTACATCGCCATTTGTGAGACTATTCGATTGCGATAGGAAGAGGTTGATCTTTTTGGCAATAGGGGGAATTTTCACCCATCTTCTTACAGTTCCAGTATTTCATACCTTCACATTCGTGAGCGCCCAACAAAGGCTCCACTTTCCATATTTTCCGGTTCAAAGTGGAATTAGTTAGTTAGTTAGCCGCAAAACCGAGCATTAGTTGAGAATCATCTCCTGGGTATAGTCCCGAGGTATGCGTTCGTTTAGATTAAAGCCCAAGTTCGCAATTGTCGATGCATCCGACATAGCAAGATCTGAATGTGGCTAGATGTAAGCATTTCTGACAATTATCGACAATAACAGACGCCGGGGAGCCCTGACCTATAAGACTCTTATACCAACCAAGTCCCACCCAATTGGATTAAATTAATTTTGGGAATTTACTCACTGTTTCTCCAATATATCCAATTGTGTCCAATTCCAAAAGGGCAGCGCGCGTACTTGCGACCAAAATAAAATACGTCCCCAACGAAACAAATAAGAAAGCGCAAAAAGGAATGTTTGCCAAAAAATAACAAAAGACCTCGTTGTTTACGAATGAGTGTAATGCATAACGCCGAGTTTACGAATAAGACATAAGGAAAAACCAAATCAGCTGGACACATTTATCGCACTGACTTCGAATTTCCGTTTATGGTTGATTTGTTAGTGTTTAGTGACGACGTATGTATGTTAACGTATCGTGTTGTATATGTAACTACATCATCTATCACTTAATTCAAGGTAGGGCAGAACTACCATATGATTTAATTTTTTTTTATTTTTCTGGCTTAATATGTCAACTTCATTTGCTTATGTGTGTGTCTTCTTTTCAATAATAAAAAATTGTTCAGAAAATATTCAAATTCGGGTGTTTTCAAAAAGCTTATTGCAACGAATGCATCGACAAAATCTGCAGTTTTTGTCGCGAAATAACCCATAAGAGATATATAGAACATGACATTGAAAAGAAATTTTGACCATTCATTCAGTTTCCGCGGTTTTAAATTATTTATTCAAAATCAACGCAACAAGTTGTTTGCTTTTTTATTGTTTTGATAGTAATTCTGACATTACAAGCCAAACAGGTAGACCTCTATACTTGCAATTTTTTCAAAGTTAACCTACCTTCTCTTCATTGTACCATGGTACTATGTATAATTAGGACAATAAAATATTGCTATGGAAATTTTCCATGTGGAAAATTTTTTTAAATAGAAACATCTTTTAAAATTAAATTGTGACTTAGGCTGGAAATACATAAAGAGCATATTTCGTTGGCTTAAGTCACCGGCTGGCTTCTTCGTAGATGAATAAAGGAGTTTTAGGTTGACTTAGTTCGATTTTGGGCCAAGGCTCCTTTGTTCATTTCCGAAGAAGCCAGCCGATGACTTAAGCCAGTCAAATATGCTCTTTATGTATTTCCAGCCTTAGAGTCATATATAAAGGCCTAGATATGAGAGTACATAAAAGACTTCTCTGACTTGCTTAAGTCGTCGGCTGGCTTCTTCGTAGAGGAACAATGGTGTTTTAGGTTGACTTAGTTCGATTTTGGCCCTTTGCTCCTTTGTTCTTTTCCGAAAAAGTCAGCCGATGACTAAAGTCATTTTATGTATTCTCACCTTAAATCATTCGTCAGATTTATTGTTTGCATTTTTATTGCATAATTTAATGTGCTTTAATAATTTTTAACTTAAAAAAATCCTACACTTATTTTTTTGAAAATGTTAAAACTTTTATAAAGAAATGAAATAAATTATAAGGCAATTTAAATTTGAATTTCAATAAAACAAGAATCCAATCCATATGGGGAATGGGAAAAATCCGGCTGGAATATTAATTCACGATTGTCATTCCAGTTGTAACCAACTTTTAACCGCTCTCCAAATTTGACATCAAATCCACACAACAATTGAAACTAATTTTATAATATGATATTTATTTAAAAAAAAATGAAAATACAAAAACATGGTATACCATCGATAGATATGGTGACGAAGATAAAAACGTAAAAGCAATAAACGTAAAAGAAATTATCTCAACAATTTCTTTATCGTTTTAAATACGACAACGATGAGTCTTGTAGTTGTAATATCCTTCTCCTCCTTCTCCCTGGAGTGATGGGCAAACAAACAAATAAGAATAAAAAAAATGAACGATGCCTTCAATGTAACACTGCTTCAAGCATTCTGTGGCATTTAAAGATAATATCTAGAACTGAATGTCATTAAAATTAATTAGGTATATATTTGTGGTGAAAATTCCCTTTTAAAAAAAGGCATCTCCTCCATAACGAAAATTGCGGTATAACGCTTCACGTAACAAATTAAAGTCCATCTCGTCCTCATCTGCATCGTCGTTATCCGAAAAGTACATATAATAATCATCATCATCATCGTCCAGCATACCCAAAAAGTCCATATCTTCGTTTTCGTAACCGTAATAATCATCGTAGTCGTCGTGGTCCGTCTCGTACATGATATCTTCCAAATCACTGAACTGAAAGTCGAATTTGAGTTTCAACAAATCGACCGATGATTTGAAATCTTCGTTGGCAATCGAATGAGCATCAATGTCAGAACGACAGGCGAAAATACAAAGCGGTTTTCTTTCACTACATTGTGATTGTTCGGCCTTCAATAGCTTTAGCAGATCATTGGCAAATGACTCTTTCAGGTGTTTACAATTGCGTATGTCCAAAGTGTGCAATTTGGGACAAGATTTAATTAGGTCCAATAGAACCCTTTCACTAAAGTTCGAACAGTTTCTAATATTTAACTCCTCCAGCTGCGAAAGCACTGCCAACTTCTCCAAACATTCATTGTTGAGCAGTTCATTGTTTTGACACGAAAGACGTTTCAGTTTCTTTAGCTCGGAGATTTTTGTTGCTTTCTCCAAATTTATCCAATTTCTGGCCTCCACAAACAAAGATTCCAATTGATGGCTCTGATGTTTGACCAGTTCTTCAAAGAAACTAGCTGGTATATCAATTTCTGAGCACAATGTCAAATGTTTCAGTTTGGGCAACGTTGCCACCAGCTGGCTTTGTTTCGAATATGGAGTATTTATTTTCAAAGTTTCCAGGTTGCTTAAATGTTTGACCAGTTCACTGAAGTCCAATGTAAGCTGTATAGGACAATCGAGCAGTTCCAGGTTATGGAGTTCAGTAAGACTTTCGCATATTTTCAATAAATGATGAGATGTCAAGCGTCTACAGCCATTCAAACTTAAACTTGATATGGTCTTCAGCTCCTTTATGTATTTCCCTGTTGAATTAAAAGCATTAGATCATTGCATTCTTTTGAAAGTTACTGCCCACCCCACCCCCACTCACCTGTTAATTCACAATTCTCATTTAACGAAAGTGATTTCAAACCTGGCAAATTCTTTAGCACCGGTATCGAGAAATCACACAACCCAGTATCGTTGAGTTCCAATGTTTCAACATTTGTCATTTTTCTCAGCAGTTTACACAGTATAGACGGCTTCAAATGATTGCCATCTATACATACCGTTTTCACATTCGTACAGAATAGACCCAAAAATTCCATAATGCGATTAACCTGTTTATAGGGAACCGGACCATCCAATCTCTCGATTTGTGGTCCAGCCATTTCAAGAAATTGTCGAGTTTGCCACAGCGTCAAATTATCCAAATCACATAAAGCGAAGCGCTTGTATTCGATTTTCGAATGCATCTCAAAGACGTTTCGTAGGCGACTACACGAACGGGCCAATTGTATTTTGTCCTTCATGGGTAAATGTTTAAATATCAACTCTAAACAGTCGTCGTTTAGATTAAGTATAGAAATGGACTCATCGATACTGTTCTTGGAGGAGTTTTTCGTATCCACATCTTCCCCACTGGCATCTTTGGTTGAGTGTGCCTGGGCATCGGGTTGATGCCAGCTGTCGCAGGCACGCACGCGTATTCTTTTTTTGTTAATGCAATGATTGGTGTCTTGTAAGACCCTGGAAGAAATAAATAATTGAATTAGAGCTAGGAAACAATTAAATATAATTTTTTTTTTTTGTTAAATTGCTCTACTTGACAACGGGTAAATCCCTCAAATAATCGGAATTTATTCTTGTACAATTTCACAACATGGCGGAACTTTTAGTCTGCGTCATAAGTTTTCAAAGCTGGTAATATCCCTAATAAAAAAGTGGTTTATGCTTACTTGGCTGCAACAGTTGGATCCATGAAATTAACGAAACCAATTTTGTGGGCCTGATGAATAATTTTGCGTTTCCTATCATTTATCAAGCGTACGTTTTTTATTTCCCCAAATTTCTTGAAATAATCCAATATTTGGCGCTCTGTGGTCTGCAATGGGCAAACACAAACAAACAAAGAAAAACATTAATGCCGGCTGCCACCAAATGCACCCAAAACATAACATACCTTCTGTGGAATGTTGTAGACAAAGATGTTGTACACCAATACATTGTCCTCAGTGAAAGCCTTTCCATTGACTATACTGTAGTTGGGTCTATCTGTAAAATGGGAAAATGGTTTTAAATTGGAGACTTCGCAGAACATTTGCCACATTTTGTTTGTTTAAAATAAAACTTCAATATATACACGTTAATTTTTTTGTAAAACTATGATTAATGCTTCAAAGTTTTATTGAACTTTTCATGTGTCGGTCCAAGGTGCGAGTCATCAATCCTACTCGTTTTCATGTCCGCCCTCTCCCAAAAGTTTTCGGCATAAAATTTCAAAAACTCACTGACACGAACCCATGGCAGAAGAATACAGGTAGATGCATCAACGCTTGGGAGCATTGATATGTCAAAAAAAAAATTAAATGTTTTTTCAAATAGAATTAGATTTTTATATGTTTTCTTATACTACGTCATTCGGAGCCTATTATAATTCGCATTTTTCAACAATTTTTACAAATTTAAATAATTTTTCATTCAACAATTTCAATTCCAAAAATGGTTTGACAGTTCATTGTCCCTGCAGCTGTGTCGACGCGTCTACCTATATTCTTCTACCATGCACGAACCTATGAACTACACTGCCTTTACACGGTGCAATTTTTAGCTGGCATTTTTATCAATTCTCTTTTAAAATTTCTGCGTAAATCTTCGCGCCTTTACACGGTGGCATTTTACGATAATAGTGCCTGGCATTTTTTCTGACATTTTATTTTATTCAGTATTTCGTATAGAGCTAATTGTTTGTAACAGATATTTATAAAGAAGTGATTTAAAATTAAATGTGTGAATCTAAAGAAGAAATTATGGAAAAAGTTATTGAGGTGTTAAATATTGCATTATTAACTTTTATTTTAAATTTCTTTTTTTTTACTTTTTAATACTTCCAATTAATTTTCATATAATTCACTATACAATTCAATCACTAAAAACATCACATCACAATAAAGAAACGATATGAAATGTCAAAATCATAAAAAATTCGGAAGAAGCAAAAAGAGAAATGCAAAGAAAATTGCATGTAACCCTGTGCGGTGGCTTATCGTGCCATTTTTTTCTTCTATCCTTGTCTCTACACCTTTTACCAACAAAAAAATGGCATGGTTAAAAAATGTCACCGTGTAAAGGCAGTGCTAGTCTCAAAAAATTCTTCCTAGGAACTAGAAGAAATTATCGATTAGGTTAATAAATATAACTCCATTGATAAAAGTGAAAGCTTCAGGGTTTTTTTCTGTCTTGGTATATACCATGGTAGAAGAATACAGGTAGATGCATCAAAGCTGGGGAATATTGAAATGTCAACATTTTGACATCAACACCAG